TTGGGGATCGGCCTGGACTCCATTTCAATTAATCCCATATGTTATGTTGTTCACTTTACGCGCTTCCTCACTTTCCTTGCGGACCCTCCGGCATTAACCGAAAATGAAACAACCTTATAGCTTCATATATATATATATATATATATATATATATATATATATATATATATATATATATATATATATATATATATATATATATATATATATATATATATATATATATATATATATATATATATATATATATATATATATATATATATATATATATATATATATATATATATATATATATATATATATATATATATATATATATATATATATATATATATATATATATATATATATATATATATATATATATATATATATATATATATATATATATATATATATATATATATATATATATATATATATATATATATATATATATATATATACACACAGGGGTATGCTATAAATCTACGATCCTACTACGAATATTCCTATAACGAACGTTTTACCTATAAATTGAGAATGTTATAACATAACTCCTACAACTAACGCGATGAATACGACTATTTCGCCTGGCGATGAATATTGTTGTACCGCACCCACAACAAGAGCGTCAGGCGCCATCTTTGTCTCATTGTGTAGCCAGTGCACCACCGTTATTGTTGAAATTTCGTCTTTTGATGGAATTGCATTATTTGTATAACTATTTTGTTATACAAGTATACAATTGTAACAATGAGTCGCCCAAAGCAGAGGAGAAAGCTAATAACCTTTGAAACTAAGAAAGAAATGTAAAGAAACGGAGAATGGAAGAAGCATTGCAAACTTAGTGATGAATATGGGATACAACTGACTATATTACGATTTTGAATAAAGAGGAGTTAAACCAAGAAGTAAGAGGAATCTTTAGACTTTGCAAAGCAAAGGTATGTGATTGAAGATGGAAAATTTACTCTAGTGTGGATAAAGGAGAAAGAAATGGCGTGGTAACATTAGTGAAGCTATAATTTGAGAAGGCTAAACAATTGTTTGAGGACCTAAAGCCAAGACTCAGTGGAAGTGATAGTGATGTGCTGTGTTTAGGGTACCTGCATGCTGAATAACACTAAGGTAAGATAGAAACAGATTTTTTACATTTCCACAGAATTTTTCAGTGTTAAGTGGTTGTATTTGAGGCTTGAACGGATTAATCCTATATCGAACGAATGCTAATAACGAGGTTCTGAACCACTACGCTGCATAGCAAATTCCATTGTGTATGTAGTATATATATATATATATATATATATATATATATATATATATATATATATATATATATATATATATATATATATATATATATATATATATATATATATATATATATATATATATATATATATATATATATATATATATATATATATATATATATATATATAAAATTAGGGGTTCAGGATTGACGGTTAATCCGAAAGTCGGTTAATTGAGGGTCGGTTAATCGAGGTTTTACTGTACCTTCCATAAGATTCTTCACTTCAGTTAACAAAAAAATTTCGGTTAACGAATTCCTTAAGAATTTATCCTAACATATTTTCGCCTGTTTTTGCCTGCTCACCAGCTGTAGTATTAGTCCACCAATACAGTTATAGGTTTTAAGGCTTAAATTCGTTACCATCTGAGTAAATATCAAGAAGGTTGTACTATTCAATAATTTCAAATCTTATATTAAAGTTTTTAGTCATTTTAACAATTACAGTATTTAACATAATTGAAGTACAAGAAAACTAGTTTTTAGTGCGCCAAACAGCCGCTTGACTCACCCAGAATGGTGTCACTTAGTGTCTCTGCTCAGTGGAGGAAGCATCTTGCTTGACTCCTCTCTTGAACATAAACTATTTTTACAGTACAATTATTGGTCATTCTGAAGTTTATTTTACATATTGACAATATATAATGCAGTGCAGTGTTGATTTAAAGAAAATAATATTGAATTACACCAAGTGAACTAAAATTTTATGGGTGAAATGGCGGCATGGGGTGATTTCTCTTCCACCCCAATGCCTTCTCTTCTCCCTTCTCCTACACCCCCATTCTAATTGCCATCATCATCATCAACCATGAGCCTTCTACATGTACACCTCAAAGTAAGTGTACTTTACTGCATTTATTTTTAGTTTGTATGTAATTTTCGGTGAGCTGGAGCCAATTACCCAAAATCCCATTGAAACAATGGTTTCGGTTAATGAGCAACCTTCTGGAACGAATTGTGTTCGTTAACCGAGGGATCACTGTAATGCAAATACTGTATAATAAAATTGAATCTGTATCAGTTAAGAAAAAGTAGTTTGTTTCTTTTTAAGTAACTCAATGCAGGTGATATGTTTAGGTGAGATTGTGGCATTATTAGCAGGGGTGGATCCAGGAATATCAAAAGGGAGGGGGGTTACATGGCGAGCACAGCAAGCCCACCCAGCTGGGGGAGTTTTGGGGGGCGCTTAAGCACCCCCACCATAATTTTTTTTTAAATCTGACCAATATTATGGTCATTTTGAGGCCATGTACACTTGATATTAAGAGATATTATGAGGTCAATGGTAATTACTTTTTACTATTCAAAAACACCTGAGTACAATACTGCATTAAAGAAAAAGTATTGTAATTTTCTGATGAAAAGGGGGAGGTGCGGACCTCCTCCTGACTAACAATTAAGATATGGCCGAAGTAAAGATACTGTATCAATTTTTTTGGTACATTATAAGAGTTTTCTGGTACCACACATTAAATAACATTGTCTCGGGGCAGATTAGGGTCAAGTTTTGGGCCGAGTACCTGTCTAGCACACCTAGTGGGGTTATGTCACAGCTAGTCCCTTACTCTTAGTTTCTTCTCAGCTGGATGCATTTCATCTGGCAGCCATGGTGAGGAAGGCTCACAGGCATATTTTGTAGTGCATGTTATAACCTCATAAGGTATAAAAAAAATTCCAAATGAACTTGTTGATACCAGTATGTAGAACAAGATTATAGAGTTATTTCATGGATAGTTCTAAGGTTAGATCATTGTTTTCGGAGCTCATGTACAATACAGGAGATGTTGCTAATGGGACCAAACTTTACCCATTTCATATCAACTGTGAAGTTATAAGACAACTCCTCAACAATGTATAGAAATTCACCTGGATTGGGGGAGACGATGTTTAGTCCATGTGCACACACTGTTATGTTTCCTGTACTATACTGTACATACAAATTATTCAAAAACTGCATCGTGACACCTATGAACCTGTGAAATTACCTCTTAACCTCTTATGTATGGGTTCCCTTCACCTGAATAAAATCTTCTGGCATTAGCCAAACAGAATTTTAAAAGTGGTGTCCCTATAGTGAAGGAGTTAAAGTAAAATTAGTCTTGACATTCTTGTGATCTGTGGAGAAGATTTAAAGTTGTTCAGCCACTATTTTTCTTCTTGGTATACCTAGGATGTCAGGGAGGAGGAGAAGCAGGAGCAGCAGGCATCGTTGCCAACACGAGCGTTGAAGTTTGTAAAGCAGTTCACATCTCTGCTTAGAGTGAAGGCCCTCAGGAAGAAAATACTGATCGTCTTCTTCTGCTGGTTTGCCTCCTCCATGATCTATTACGGCATCGCCCTCAACGCCACTAACCTCAGGTATTAGCCCTTATAGAGTAGTAGTAATAAAAATAACAATCTATACTGTAATAAAAAAAGATCCTGTGTATGTGTGTGTATAATGCCCTTCCTTCCCCAAATTCTTACTTAATCATTAGAGTTTGGGGTCCAATACTGGGTCTCGGTCATAATAGGTTAAGTTAGGTTAGATCCTACCACAACTGGGGATCCACTAGAACACTGTAACCTTCCTCACCACCTTCACAGTGCCAACGTCTACCTCTACATCTTCCTGGGGGGTCTCCTAGAGATGCCTTCATACTTGCTGCTGTGGCCTGCTGTGGTGTACCTGGGCAGAGTCAGGTCCCTTTCAAGTCTCTACTTTATGTGTGCCGTCTGCATCTTTAGTCTCTCAGTCTGCATTATCTTCACCTCCGATGGTACGTCACTCATCGATTCACTTATTAATTCATCGATTTTACTGATGATTGATTGATTTTTCACCGATTGATTAACTGACCAACTGATTGATTGGCTGACTGACATTACTTGATTGATTGATTCATTGTCTGATTTGTTGACTGAGTAATTGATTAATAACATTGCTTTATTTTGGTTACTGCTTGGTTTATTTATTGACTTATTTATTGATTGACCGACTGACTGATTGACTAACTTAGTTGACTGACTGACTGATTGGCTAGCTGACTGCTTAATTGATTGAAAAAGTGATTGATTTATTGACTGGCAGTTGGTTGATTAACTGAGTAAGGATTGATTGACTATTTGCTTGATTAATTGCATAACTTATTGTTTATTTGATACTATCACTACTTGATTAATTAAACTGTTAATTCACTAGTAATGTAGTTAAATAATTCACTGACAGATTAATTGGTAGCCTGAGTCAGTGGAACAGTGGTAGTGTACTTACCTCTCACCAATGCATGCTGGGTTTAATCTGATGTGAGACGGGTGTTATCCAGTAAAACCCTACCAAACACGGCAGAATTTCTCCGAGTACTTCTTGTACTACCAGTGGACGATGAAGGTTGATTATGAGACTCTCCAGGAACAACTGTGGAGAGTCCGTATTACATCTGTGACTTGAATGTTTGATTGACCGGGTAGCTCCATGACTTATTGGTCAGTTAGACTGGTCGATTGAATTATTTAAATACCTGTAATTGTCTAATTGGTCCGCAGTGCCTGTCGGAGTGATGATGTTCCTTTCCCTGACTGGCAAGGTGGCCATCACGGCGGCCTTCCACCTGATCTGGATGATGACGGCCGAGCTCTTCCCCACCAAGTACCGCTCCCTGGCTTTGAGTCACTCCAGTGTCACTTCCAGGTGCGGCAGCATCCTGTCTCCCTACATCAACGACATCTTGGTACGCTATGGTGGTGGAGTGTGTTTTTGGTGGTTCAGCTTACAAGGGTGGTTGTGGTGGTGGTTCAAGCTCTTCCAAGGACCTCTTTTTCCAGTGTAGTCCATCATATGGTTTATGTTAACAGTCGTACCTTCGCTGATGGGAGGTGGTGCAGTAGCTTTGGTTTCACCTCATTCTTCAAACTTCACTGGTTGGTCCTGTTGATGCTCCTATATACATTGTTAACAGCATAAAGGGTATTTTCTTGTTACCAGGCCCTCATCTCTCTGAACTCACCAAGTGGTTTCCTTGACAGTACTCCAAACTAAGTGAATAAAATATAGATGAGGTAGCTTAGTATGTACAAGGCCCTGGTGAGGTAAGAAGGGAGGGAGTTTAGTGCAGCTCCATGATTTCTTACTGGAGATCCCCTGTGTGCTCTTTAACCTTATGGTTGCCTTGATATGTCATTCTTCAACAAACAGAGTGTGAGAGAGAGAGAAACTGAGTGATTGAGAAAAAAAGAATGATACAGAAAGGGGAGAGGAATGAAGAAAGGGATAGGAAATGACTTAAAACAGGAAAGATGTTCAGTGGCTACCTCTGTCTGTCACCACTAACTAACAGTTCTGTCTATCACTCTGCAGGGTGAGGTGATAATGTGGGCGCCCTCAATGGTGTTCGGACTGACGTCGCTAGTTGCTGGGGGGCTTTGCCTGTTTTTACCAGAGACCAGGGACCGCAGTCTGACAGAGGACATCAAATTCGAGGACAGTCAACAACTTGGAAGCCAGTCAGATGTCTGTACCAGGGAAACTCTTGAAAGACAAAATAACGAGACTGCCGGTGGTCCCTCTGGAGAGAGAACTGATACGTCGGACAACAAGACTCCCCAGGATGGAAAGACTAACCCAGCCTACACGCAAGAAGCAGAGGAAAACAACAAACAAGCAAACACTAATTTATAGTTGGTGTTTACAATGTCTTGGTGTCAGTGATGTAATGTGATGCAGATTCAAATGTTCTATCAGTAATGCACTCCTTTAACCAGTGATATGTGCACTTACTAACGTAAGTGTTAAACCTAACCTTGTTTTTTTCTAACCTAACCTACAGTATATTATTCTCATATTGATTGTTCTCTTCTATATTATGTGTGTGTGCATACCATCATAAAGTTAAGATGTTATTTTTACTAAAACGTACGTATTGTGTTGGGAAAAAGTGGAGTTTGGGGGTCGGCCCAGTCTCTATTTCAATTAATCCCATATGTTGTGTTGTTCACTTTACGCATTTCTCGCTTTACCGGGCCGCCGTGGGTTCAATTGACCGCGTAAAGCAAGGGTTCACTGTACTGTAATAAAAAACAGTACAGATGTAAGATTAAGCTACAGTACAGTAGTATAGGCCTGTGCGATAATACAAAGACTAAGGTACAGTAGTATAGGCCTGTGCAATAATACAAAGACTAAGGTACATTAGTATAGGCCTGTGCGATAATACAAAGACTAAGGTACAGTAGTATAGGCCTGTGCAATAATACAAAGACTAAGGTACATTAGTATAGGCCTGTGCGATAGTACAAAGACTAAGGTACATTAGTATAGGCCTGTGCAATAATACAAAGACTAAGGTACATTAGTATAGGCCTGTGCGATAATACAAAGACTAAGGTACAGTCGTATAGGCCTGTGCAATAATACAAAGACTAAGGTACATTAGTATAGGCCTGTGCGATAATACAAAGACTAAGGTACATTAGTATAGGCCTGTGCAATAATACAAAGACTAAGGTACATTAGTATCGGCCTGTGCAATAATACCAAATTAGCCTGGGGATATCAAAAGAATTACTGTATATTTGAAGAGTATAAGAGAAAACTCCATGAAGAGCATGTGAACATAAAAAAACATCATTTATGGCATTATAATATTTATTTAATTCAGACATCCTTAACTAATCACTTACACTTTACAAATATTGATAAAGTAGAAGGTTTTAATGTTAGAAGTTTTCCTTAAAATTTAACAAAATCTAAATGCTGTACTGAAAGAAAAAATAAGATTCTATATACATTTTTTGAGTTAGTAATGCTTGCAAAGAAATTTATTATAATGGAAAGAAACATCACAGCATCAAAACCAGACCAGAAAGTTTATTTACATATATTTTTTGTATGAATAACATAAAAAATAATTGTAAAGTTTAAATACAGTACAGCCCAAACATTATTCATACCCTGGCCCCTGATTTTGTTGAGGTGTTATGTGTAACCGGGAACTTCTATCCACACATCCGGTAAACTTATCATCTCTTGAACATTATCATAATGTACTCTTCAATATAGCAATGTTCTTAACTGGTAAAACTAGTGTGTTTATGCAAATTCTTTCCGAGGGAAAAAATATACAAGAACCCCTTTATAAATGATCATAAAGATATAATCACTATTTCTTGCAAAGCAACATTACCAGCCAAAAAAGTGCAGGTATAAAAGACACAGTTAGCTAACATATGGCATAGTAAATGTCACTCATATACTGTATTCTGAACACTGTCTTGTACGTACCCAACATCACATAAACTCAACAACGTATTCCTGCACCAATGGACATAAAGGTTCCAAAAGTTCCTCCCGACTGTATCATAACCTTTCCAACATTATTCAGAAGCTCTCGACCTCTAAGACCATACCTGCAGAAAAAAGAGAATAAGTACTGTATACGTATTGTAAAATACTGTGAATAATTAAAAAGTTGAAGCATAATCTCGTTATACAATAAGTATAAAGGTTTACATTTACTAATGGCTGTTACCTGATATCTTTCTATTACTGTACTGTAATTCCTGATACAGTACAGTTGTACCCCACTTAACGCGGTCAATTGAACCCAGAGGGTCCCGCGTTAAGTGAAATCCGCGTTAAGTGAACAACAGAACATATGGGATTAATTCCAATAGAAACCGGCCCGACCCCCAAACTCCACTTTTTGAAGGCACATACCTATGTTGCAGTAAAAATAACATCTTAATTTTATGATGGTACATGCACACAATTAATACTTAAGAGAAATAGAGAAATACAGTCGCCAAGTTAATGTCCATTCAAATAATGGACTCAACTCCCTCCCCCTCTCACACTACACTGTCGGCTCTTCCCTCTCAGAGAAATTTTTGGGGGAAAACCACTAAATTTTAATAAATAATACCTCAAACTAAAGTTAGGATAATACAATTGACATTGATGGATTCCTTGTAAGACCAGGAATATTTTGAATATAAATGACATATATTTTGCACAAAAGATAACATAGTTACCTAGAGAAAATTTTTTATCTAAAATTTGTATGTTTAATGCAAAATATATGATGTTTATATTCAAAATGATCACCAAATTATAAGAATTCCAGCAATGTAAATTATATTCTGACCGGGTAATTTGTATGAATTTTATGAGCTAAAACAAATATCTTCAGTTAATAAAAAAAAAATAATCTTCACGACACGATCTGTCATTCAAAGTACCCCACCTTGCCTCCCCCCTCTTCCAACCGCGCGGTCAGTCCCAACCCTCCCCCCCACCCCCCACCAATCCTCCCTTCCAGAGTTTTTAACATTTAGTATTAAATAATACCTCAGATTAAAGTTAGGATAATATAATTGACATTGCTGGATTCCTTGTAAGACCAGGAATATTTTGAATATAAATGTCATATATTTTGCACAAAAGATAACATAGTTAATTTGAGAAAAATTTTTATCTAAAATTTGTATGTCTAATGCAAAATATATGATGTTTATATTCAAAATGATCATCAAATTATAAGAATTCCAGCAATGTAAATTATATTCAGACCGGGTAATTTGTATGAATTTTATGAGCTAAAACAAATATCTTCAGTTAATAAAAAAAAATAATAATTCTTCACGGGGTAACAGATGGTCGGTCGGTCCCTCCCTCCCCCCCACCCCCCACCAACCGTCCCAAGGAGATGTGTGGGATAACCACTAAATTTTAATAAATAATACCTCAAACTAAAGTTAGGATAATATAATTGACATTGCTGGATTCCTTGTAAGACCAGGAATATTTTGAATATAAATGTCATATATTTTGCACAAAAGATAACATAGTTACTCTGAGAAAAATTTTTATCTAAAATTTGTATGTCTAATGCAAAATATATGATGTTTATATTCAAAATGATCACCAAATTATAAGAATTCCAGCAATGTAAATTATATTCTGGCCGGGTAATTTGTATGAATTTTATGAGCTAAAACAGGCAGTCAGGCAGGGTGGCGCAAATCTAAAAATAGCGTCTCGTCTCGAGCCGGACACTCACCGCGTATATGTGGAAAAAATCCGTGTTAAGTGAAAGTTCAGCTCTGGCGAGGCACCGCGTATATGATAAAACGCGTTAAGTGAAACCGCGTTAGGCGGGGTAATACTGTATTGACAACTTTGCATAAATATGATTCCTGTACCTATACTGCAACAATACAGTAGGTTCTTCAGCAGATAAACTGGAGTTGGGTCAACGATTTAGCTCATCACTTCTACATGTCGGGCCATAAGATCCAGTAAACCTACATTACAAATTGCCTGTTCTACAAGACATGTGGATGTACAACACATTTCACATAGTATCACGCATCCTTGGCTTTTCCCTGACATACTGTACTATCATATCTCTTATAATGGACAAGATATATTCTTGAGGATGTACTGCTAAGTGAAATATCCATTAAAAGAAGCCATTATAACATGGTGCTCCTGGAGACAAGTTCTTGCTAATAGTGAAATTAGTCAAAATAATAAATAAATCAAAACAACAAGCGGTGTGACCAAGAAGCTCAATGATGTCTACAGATGGAAGCTATAATGATTGCAACTACCTGCACAGTACTGTATTAGTCAAATAGTTTTACCTGTACTACTGTACTTTATAAGTTAACCACCTGGCCCAAGGATAGGGTGCCGACGGCCGTGTCCACCCACGAGGGGTAAATCGAGAAAAATCGACTTTTCCCAAAATAATTTTTACCCTTTTTAAAAAACAAAACAATAAAAAAAGAACTAACAAAAACGATATATTAACCCACTAGAAACTTCCCTGTCCCTGTGGCAGCAGTGGTGAGGGAGATAACGGGACAGTGTTGTTTTGGTGGCTGACGCTCGTGGTCACTACGCACTTAGCGGCCATTTTCTGCTTGCATATATTTACTGATCATAATACTTATTTCCTATAAATAATTCATTTAGAATATTTTATTTACATTATTTTTCCTAAAAAGTGCTCGGTGTAACACAATAATAATAATACTATCATCAATAATAATAATAATATCAATAATAATAATAACAATAATAATAATACACACACACACACACACACACACACACACACACACACACACACACACACACACACACACACACACACACACACACACACACACACACACACACACACACACACACACACACACACACACACACACACACACACACACACACACACACACACACACACACACACACACACACACACACACACACACACACACACACACACACACACACACACACACACACACACACACACACACACACACACACACACACACACACACACACACACACACACACACACACACACACACACACACACACACACACACACACACACACACACACACACACACACACACACACACACACACACACACACACACACACACACACACACACACACACACACACACCACACACACACACACACACACACACACACACACACACACACACACACACACACACACACACACACACACACACACACACACACACACACACACACACACACACACACACACACACACACACACACACACACACACACACACACACACACACACACACACACACACACACACACACACACACACACACACACACACACACACACACACACACACACACACACACACACACACACACACACACACACACACACACACACACACACACACACACACACACACACACACACACACACACACACACACACACACACACACACACACACACACACACACACACACACACACACACACACACACACACACACACACACACACACACAGTCAGTCAGTCGCCAGGCTGTCTGGCTATCTTTGTGCTTGGCAGAGCAAGTACAGTAATGCATAAAATAATAATAATTCCACAAATAAATACATTTATAACATAATCATAGCATTATTTTCCAGTAATACTACACTACTTTTAGCAATACTGTAATACTTTGATACAGCATGATAAAATAGACAAACAATGAAAATGAAACAAAAAAAAAGTAGGTTATTACGTTCAGGAAGCTTCCCTGTGGCCGAGCGTGTGGAGTGACAGGCAAATAGTCACACGGGAACCTGATAACCTGTGCTGGACATTTAAACAGTGGGGGGAAAAGGAGAGCGTTCTGGAACGTCACCCAGGGCGCGCCAGTCGGGCGTTCCGGCATGTCGCCCGGGAGTTAGGGTTAAACAGTTTTCATCACAATAAACTACAGTATATGATTGCTGTCTGTCCATCCAACTGTCCACAGAATTTTTTTTTATGGAAATTAGCACCTGACAGCTTTGTTGGCTATCCTTGGTCAAATTGCCTTACTGTTTACCATGATTGTATACCTGTACTGTCAAGGCAAACAGGAAACTGACTGTACTGTACAGTACTGTACTCCGAAGCCTACATGCACCAGTGGAGAATCCTCTGAGCATGCTAGGCATGCGGCGCATGCTCACTGCTCAGAGCTTTTTGTTTGTTTATTGACTTTAAATAATAAATTTACATTTATACTCTAAAATGCAGCCCAGCACTTAGTAACAGCACTGTTTAAGGGGGTGACGCCGGGGCTAGCTCCTCTCCCAAGCGCATCGGTAGGTGCTGTTTCACCTCGATGAAAGCCTGCGTGCGCAGCTCGCTGACGTCACAGTCATACCACGGTGAAATGGCAGATATGATGCGCCAGGCCGTGGAGCATCAGTTTCGCTCCACCAAGGAGTCCGTGTGGTTCGTGCCTGTTGTTTACATTCTTCCGCTCGTGTGTGTTGTGGTGCTTCTGCTACCCGAGTGTTATAGACTTAAAGTGTTATAAATATTCTACTTGCGATGGAAACTGTGGTAGAAGAGGACACTTGTTTAGTTAAGGAACTGCTGGAAAAGTCGTTTTCGAGAAGAAACATTTCAGAGAAAATTGAAATCAGAGGAAAACATAGACCATGTCCACGAGTTCCAGGACTTACAAAGAAGCATACAGATAAAAACAAAGAATATGTTAGGCATTTTAATATCACTATACGAAAGCACGCATTGGTTGACTAGCTCAAATAAGTTAAACAAACTCTTCTGCTGGCCGTGTTTGCTCTTTTCAACTGATCACAGTGTACGGTCGAAAACTGGTTTCGATAATTTGAATACTTTGTCATTGGCTATTTCTAGTTATGAGAAATCTTTTAATCACATAAAGTGTTTTCTGCAACCTAATAGTTTCAGAAGAATGAGAATTGATCATCAGCTTGATGAACAACAATGCGTCAGTGACTAAATGCACAATGAAAAAGTTAAGAAAAGTCGGGTACAACTCCTCCTCCACTCTCCCCCATCCCCGCTCTAAAAAATAGAGAGCATGCTCAAGATCTTAGGTCAGGATTCGCCACTGACGTGCACCATATACAGCTACTCCTCGACTTACGACATAGTCAACCTACGACCACCCGGACAAACAACCGCCTCAGTCGTACCAAACTTTTGTCAAATTACGTATTTTCGAGTCCCAATGTTAGTGATTGCGCTGTGTACTGACAAAATTTTCGTTTGCAATTCACTTTATAATGGCTGGCAAGCTTAAAAGTGAGAGTTTTGTGGTGCTGAGAAGAAAAAGAGACACCCATTTTAGATTTTCTGTGTATTATTTAAGCATTTTCAACTTACGACCAATTCGACTTACGACCTGGATTTGGGTCCCTAACCCCGTCGTAAGTCGAGGAGCAGCTGTACTACATTGTCTATATTCATATTGAACTGTATAGCTGCATAGTTTATATACAGTATATGCTTATCCTAATGTAAACCTGTATGCCAATTTTAATGAATAAATATTGTGGAAATTATTTTGTATAATTCCCCATTATAATATTAAATAAAAATAAAACATGGTAGTGACCTGCCCCGCAGAACCCTAAAGCACACTCTGGTGGTGGGTTTCTGTGTGAATGCAATATGAAATAGGCTTGTTGTCAGGGGTAGTTCATAGATTTCTCACAATAATTCGTAAAATTCACGATTCATGTATATAAAAATATAACTACAGTACGCGTACTGTAGTGGTGTTGGTTTATTACTATTGTATTATAAATAATTAACCTGATGAGCGTAGGTAGCCATCAGATGTTTAACTGAGTTGAGAGGAGTTCAGTAGCCAGTACAGTATTTCTCGTTAATTACTTTAAAGCTGGTAATTTAGTTAATGTAAATAAACTATTTATAGATTACCATTGTATTTTAACTATTAATTTTAAAAAGTACCTGTCACACTGTTGTCGAAGTAAGGATAAACTTAATAATTGAGGTAACAACGTGCCACAGTGACATCATTTTAGTCGGAAAAGAGCTGTTGCTGAAACCAGAACTGTTTACATGACACCGAGAGTAGACGTCTGGCAAACAAAATAACGTTTTACTTATACGTTTCAAGACATTACATTAACACTGGCTGAAATCATCTTAGAACTTCATTAAAGATTCATAAACCCATTTTCTGGTAAAGCCAAGTACAGTTTCTGATAGTACACCTACTGGAGGAGAACACTGGTTTTGTAGAAGAAGGTGGAAGAGGAGTTAAGCCTCCAGTTTTCAAGTAAACAAATTAATTAGTTATTGTGTGTGAAAAAAAATCACCACAAATATTATTACCATTATTGTATCAGCTGAAGGCAATTTTCTGAAACTGATACAGTATAATAGTGCAGGACTGTCAGGATACAAAGCGTATGAAATTATTTTACGAGCTATGGATCATCAACAAGTGGCATGTGAGAGGTTGGTGGCATAGCAGTAACATGCTTGCCTCTCACACTGCATTATGGGCTCAGTCCCCAGGTGGGATGTGAGTGACAATCACCAAACACTAGACAGCACAGGTGAAGTAGTTATAATTGTATGAGATTTGGGTAAAGACATTTTCTGTTTCAGGTAAACCTATTACAGGTTGACAATCCCTTATCCGAAATCCTTGGGGCCAGAGGCATTTCGGATTTCGTAATTATTCGGATTTAAAAATGGTTTGTTTTTTTTTCTATAATCCCACCCGGGCATAGATCACTGACCCACATTGGGGCCTCGGGGGCGAAAATATTATTATAATTATAATTATAATTATAATAATTCTAATAATAATAATAATTCATATGTCTAGGTTGCATTTCTCACTTTTGAACTTTTTTCATTCTTGTATTTCTTTATTATTATTATTATTATTATTATTATTTTATTACAGTATTATTGTTATTATTATTATTATTATATTTTATTATTACTATTTTTATTATTGTTATCATTATTATTTTATTTTGGTGTGCAGTATTTTAATTAAAAATCTTATTTACAATGAATAATTATTATTACTATTACATTTTCGCCCACCAGGCCCCGATGTGAGTCAGCGATTTATGCCCGGGTGGGCTAATCCCTGTTTAAAAAAAAAAAAAAAAAAAAAAACTTTCGGTTTTTAGAGCTTTTCGGTTTTCGGAATTTCGGATAAAGGGTTGTCAACCTGTACCTATAGCTACATAATACATTCATGCATGTTTCCTAATTCAAGGGCATACTGTATGTATAACATCACAGTTGAGAAAACAAATGCTGAAAGAATTATAGAATATGAGTGAAAAGTTTCTTTTCTCTAGAAGGGACAAAGACTTTTTGGGGCAACATTTATGGATATGGAAAACACATGAGAGGGAAATTGGTTTCCAGGACTATATAAAAAATATGTAATGTTCAATACTGTGGTGTGATGGTTGGGGCTCCAGCAGGAGTAACACAGAGGGATCTCTCAGTTTGGTTATTACTAAATAATGATACAGGATGCCACTGGGAGGTGAGTCACTGCTGTTTGTCCAATATATCATGTCAATAACAAGCACATATCAAGTGAATCGCACTGAAAATTTTCATCTCATAATTACGTACTCATCAAAACCATCATAGCAGAGATTTAACTGCCTAAAAAAAATTTTGTATGTAAAACTTCAAAAGAAAGTGTTTTTCCCAACAATTCACGAATACACAGTAATACAGTACTGGCTGAGGACGGAGTTTGTACAACAGTATCCATGGAATTTTTGCAGTACAGTACTGTACAGTACGAGACAAAGAAGGGGTGACCTTGGCTGCATGGCCCCTCCTCATTATGACCCAGGTTGTTCTGACCTTTTAAACACCCATGCCTTTGTGTGCAGGAAACACATCAGATATACTAGAGACATTATAAAATAAAAATACTGTAGGTGCTCACCTAAGAGCTGTGAAGCCTCCAAAGAGAGCCCCAGTTGCCATGCCAACAGAGAAGCCCATCATGAATCCTAGTTTAACACGATCCCAACAGCTAGGACCCTGGCCCTGTTGGTAGTAGTTACCTGCCGGTACTGCTGGCATTATCTAGTCTCTCCTTTACCCTGCAAATTAACACATAAAATAGGTAAAACAAGATTGTTTTGTAATGATGATCTTAAAATTTAATTTTTTTTTTTATATAAATATAATGTACTGAACAGTAAATGTATCTGAAGACATTTATCCAATGTTATTACCTCTCTGACTTTTGTGTGGGACAAATAGGGGGATATATAAACCTAAGCAATGAGAGGATATGGTAGAGGCAAATGGTGCAAGACAACTGTCACGGAAAAGGGCTACAACACTGAACAGAAATGATATACAGGTACTGTACTGTGCTCTACACAGGCATTCCTCAATTTATAAAGAGTTCTGTTCCTGGTAAACCATTAGTAAATCAATATTTTGCACCGTATATAAAACACAATGAGTCCCCCATTTCCATTGAATCAGAGTGGGGGTTGCCTCAAAAACCAGTGACTTCCAATAGAAATGAAGGTCAAAATCATTTAAAACCTAACCTAACCAAGATATTAAACAAATTACGGAAGGGACCCGCACTTCCCATGATGCACCATTCTCCTCAGCTCTTCAAGGGGACTCCCTATATCTCTGTTATTTCTCGTCAGCGCAGAAAGTGTCATAGAAGAAATTTTTTTTATATTTGTTGGGCAATGTGGCTGCAAACAATAAAATAACGGAATTCCAAACCTGGCTACTAGCCTAAACTGAGCTTAAAATTTTACCTAAAGTTTTTTCCTCCGTGGCGAAGTTTTGCTACGTGGCTTCTCAGGCAGAGCCATTCATGTCAAGTATTACCAATGAAACAACCAAACCTACCCATTCTTGAGGAAATTCCACCATTGAAGATAAAAGCTTTCTTTGGGGAGTCATATCTCCAAAAAGAATTGTACTCATTTTTGCCAGAAATTAAGTCATATTCATGTGACACAGAGTGAAAAACAAATTAAAACCTTATTTTTCAAAGTAATTTACGTGAATGGTCACTATGGAATATTTACTAAAATAAATTTCCAACAAAAACGTTATTAAGTATTTTTGTTTGCTCTATCTCCCTATATTATTTGATTAAGCACAAGACCTGAATTTCAGGATGAAAATAGGTTCATTTTATATGGATTTAATTCTGAATAATCTTTGGGCAATGTCTAAGAACAGCACTACCTCCACAAAGAGTTAATTTTTTCCACAGATGTTCTCATCACTATAGTACCTAAGTACAGTATTTTAAAAGAGGCAGCAACTTTTTATTTTAATTATAAGTATTTTTGTTTTCTCTATCTACGATCATATATCACCTGTAGTGGGCAGGGCACAAAGGATGATGAAAACTGGGGGGTAAAACACAGCGAAAAACTGATTACGTGACACTAAAATAATGTCGCTACGTACTTTATATGTGTAGAAATTAATTCTTTACAATAAATACTCCTCTGAAAATTCTGCCGAGTAACTGCGTGTCATCTGCTTATTTCTAACCAACCCGCTTGGTCTGAGCGTACTCTGAGGTCCACAAAAAACGTAAAATTACACCATGACTCTTCAACAAAATTTCTTTCATTGGTACCAGATATCAAAATAAGTACTTTCTGTTTAATATGGCTGGGGGTCTGGGGGTGGAGCCGCCCGGCTGGGAAGCGAGATAAGGTTAGATAGGTTTCATTGGTTGGTTAGTTCAGGTTCTAAATTAGGTTCTGTTCATTATAGTATCGTTTTTATTACTTAACATTATCCAAAGAACATCTATGCAAAAAATGAACGAAATCAAATAACTCCTTCTGGTGTTAGTGCTGTTCACAGACGGTCCGACTAATTACCCAAATGTAGCCAAATGTAGCCAAATATAGCCGGAATGAAGTCAAATAATGGTCCTAGATGAATAAATCGGACTGCTAATCACTTCTCGACTAGTATTTGGTGTCAGAAAGTCACAAAAAATTGGAAAACTTACTTTAATCTGAGTTAATAGATCGCGTGTATGTACCGACGGAGCGAGGAATTACCCAAATGTACCCAAATGTAGCCAAATGTAGCCAAATGTAGCCGCAATGAAGTCAAATGATGGTCGTACAAGCGTAATTCGGGCTGTGAATCACTTCTCAATTATTATTTGGTGTCATAAAGTCAAAAAAAATTGGTAAACTTAATTTAATCTGAGTTGTGTTGTGTTAGGTTAGGTTAGGTACATGCACTTGATCTATTAACTCAGATTAAAGTAAGTTTACCAATTTTTTGTGACTAATCTGACACCATATACTAGTCGAGAAGTGATTAGCAGTCCGATTTATTCATCTAGGACCATTATTTGACTTCATTGCGGCTACATTTGGGTACATTTGGGTAATTAGTCAGACCCTTCACAGACATTACCAGGCATGTTAATGAGCTCACACAAGTGGGCTGTGCGGGGTCACTAAGAAATATTTAAAACCTTTTCTTCTCCCTGTAATTTACTTAAAAGGTATTTAAAGGTAACAAGAGAATAAATTAGATGAGATACTTACCTAAATGAGACTGAATAGTGAACGTTTACAAGGTGAGCAAGAACGTGCTGGCCAGCCGGGGTCGTTCACACACTTCAACTTCTTTAAAGAGCCCTGAAAAAATAATCCATTTCTAAGTAAAAAAGGCAATTCTATTTGTATTATAACGGTAATTATTGTTATTAATATAATCATAATTGTATTAAGATTAGCCTAGGTGTGTGAACTTGTATTTTTATTACTCCCGAGTTCTAAATTCTTTCTCTAATTTCCCAACTCATTGAGGCAGCAACAAACCTTTTTTACTTATCAACATTATGAATTAATTGTTCTCATTATTTTTTATGATTTAATTATTTGTGATTTCCTACTTTTAAAACTGAAATTTTGTTAAGAACTTAAGAAGATGTGGAAAATATCGCACAATTAAACCCCTCTGAAATCATGCAGATACAGAGACATTTCTATTTTTTTATACTTTAGGATTATTAGTTGTCATTTATAATCTGCAAGTAGATATTTGTACACAAAATAATATCTGCCTATTTATCTAGAACTTGCCAACAGTGGGAAACAGTGAGACGAGTATTGGTCAAGGGGAGCAAATAAAATTATATCTGCAAATATTTTAACACATGCTATGGAAAATGGTTAACTATGGAGATGAATTATGCGGAAACACTTAACAAACGATCAATGTAGTTAGTGAGACTGGTTCATTCCTATAAAATACAACGTACAATATGTAGGGTTTATTTGTTATCTATGAAACATAATTTGCATGACTAGTTCAGATGATAACTCGTTATCTATATCATTTTGCTGATAACTTTCAATCGATTTATAATGGATATCTCTCAATAAACAATGATTATCTCAGTAGCATTGTTAAGCTATCGGCCAGGAAAAACAATGAAATAAAACACAAAATATTACACTCCTTTTGTGTTGTTATCTTGTTAACTGATATGACTGTCCCAACCTTCAACTGCCTCTAATTAACCAACGCTCCTGTGCACCAGCCATTATTATTACCATCTCGAGTACTCATAAGCCATAACCGCCCAATAGAAGTTACGATGTAGTGATATTACTTTGATTAATAAAATGTGTATATGGAATCTCTGTTAAGTAACTTCGATCGGAAAGTCTTGATCTACTGCACGCAGCCGCAGGAACTGTCCGAGGCTGTACACCGGCTTTGACTTCCACTCCATAAATTCTATATAATTTTGAAAAATAACCATATATTTTCTGAATTAGTGATGATTAATATTTATATAGACAAAAATATAATTTACTTGTTATATTAAATGCTCAAATTGTATTATAAAGGATAATACTATGTTTGAATTGTTAGGCAGCGTTAGAAAGTCAGTGTTAGGTGACAGTTCAGATGTAGTAAGGAGGACGATGGCTTCGTTAAGCCTTCGTCTGTTCCAAAAAACTGATCCAGATGCAGATTTTGCAGTGTTACTCGAGAACAAGAAGTCCAAGAATAGCCTTTTATTCCAGGCAGGGACGGTTGCTACACTATGTAAGTGTCAGGTAACCTTTATTGCCATTTTCATATTGTTTTCATCAATAAACTTTACACCCGATTGTGATGTTAATTTGCAACAGGTTTAATTTTGACTGTTAATTGTATCGGGAGTTTTCTCTATAACAGTAATTATGAAATTACTTTTGGGATTGTCAGTGCCATATAGTAGTTAATATTGTACCTAAAGGGGCGGGGACTGAGAGGTACAGTACTGTATCGTTAACCTACTGTACTATGGATTACTGTCATGGATGATGTATTTGCTTAGCTTGCTTAGTATTGATTATATGATTAGTGAGGGGAATAAGAGAAGGTAATTCTAAGAGAAAAATAAAATTGTGGTAATGCTATAGAATGGCAGGGACAGGTGAACCAACAACTAGAACATTTTGATGTGAACTGCACGGTATCCTACAGCACCTTGTGTCCTACCTCGATTAATTCCATCTAAATGACGAGGAATGAGTCCTTGACCCAGAGCTGCGACATATTTTTTTTCTAGAGGTGTTATTTTATGCTCAATGCCCCAGTGATAACCATATCGTGGGTAAATGCTTAATTTGTTAAATTATGGCCTATTTCTTCTTCTGTATTAATACATTAGCCTCTTACTTTACTTTTATCCTCTTCGCCACTGATCGGCTTGTTAGCCGCTTGGGCGATCGGTCACGTCTCTGATTACTTTTCCTTTTCATTTATCTTCTTCACCAAAAGATCGGCTCGCTAGCCGCCCGGGCGATCGGTCACGTCTCTGTCACGCACTGTTGGCAAATACTGGGCATGCACCGGCTCCTGAATGTACCTGAACCCTCTCCAGTGTTGGTCAAGTCTTGTCTTGAAAGAGCTCACACTCGGTGCCGTCACAACACTCTCTGGTAGATTGTTCCAAGAGTTTACAACCCTCACTTATCAGCTTGTTAGGCGCTTGGGCGGTCGGTCATGTCTCTGTTATGCACTGTTGGCAAGTACTGGGCATGCACCTGCTCCTGAGTATATCTGAACCTGCTCCACTGTTGGTCAAGTCTGGTCTTGAAAGAGCTTCTTCGGTGCCATCATAACACTCTCTGGCAGGTTGTTCCAAGAATTCTCAACTCTCACTCCGAAAAAGTTTGCCGTGACAATTTTCTGGACTTGTGGTTTCTTCAACCTTAAGCTGTGACCCCTAGTGGTAGGCATTAATACCCCACAAAGTAGCCAGGGTTTTGAGGAGGAAAAATGTGGAGTTCCAACATGTTTATCAATTTTAAGGTTAGTGTTTCCTTCACTGTTCTCAGCAGTTGGCAGTAGCATTACAAACGTCCAACCTCTTCAAGAAAATATTGCAGCAGTTACAAGCATTAAACTAACTTAACCTAACTTAGCCTAGCCTAACTTAACCTACTGGGATGGACGGAAGGGTGATTATTCTGTAAGCACCGGTTTTAGGGTCCAACGTATTACCCAAAAGTACCCAAATGTACCCAAAAGTACCCAAAAGTATATTAAATCAGGGAAAAATCTTAACGAATATCTGTTATACATACACAAAACATGTCTAATAATATTTTTAGTGTAATTTTGTTAAAATAATTTGTAAGATGAAATAATAAACAGCGAAAAACTTTAAGTATTGGCGAACGCTAAATTCCAAAGAGTTCGTGAACAAGGGAGATAACTCAGATCCATCGTGATGCACTTCGCTAACCTAACCTAACGAAAAGTAAATCCTACGGCTATGTTAAATACCCCAAAGTAACAGAAACATCGGTAATTATATCTCCATTTTGGATAGGTGACTCTTTGGAATTTAGCGTTTTTCGCTGTTTATTATTTCATTATTTTGACTACATTTCAATGAAAACATTATTAATCAGGTTTTATTGAAGTAAAACATATATTCGTTAAGATTTTACCCTGATTTAATATACTTTTAGGTACTTTTGGGTACATTTGGGTACTTTTGGGTAATTCGTTGGACCGCCGGTTTTATGATCCCATAACTTGGATGTTTTATTTTTTTGTATTGAAATTTGACTTATCTGGTGATAAAAAGAGCTAGTATCAGATGCTATACGACAATCACGTGAATCTTTCTACCAATCATTGGCTGGAGATTTGGGCCACCAGTCAGCAGCTGGAGGTTTGGTAAATAATATCCCATAATTTCATTGACGTTACGGAAATTCTTTTGTTTCAGCTAATGAGCAGTGACTTTTCACTTGCCACTCAATCAGTCTCTTCCCTTCAATATTAATTTACATTTTTAGCTGTTTTTTCCCTTCTGGGCACATTAAAAAAAAAATTAAAACAAGGATGATAAAGTGCTCGAGTTCTTTGAATTTTATGGTTTAATTTACCACCAGTCCATCATCCTGCACAGTAGGCGAGTACAATGACCAGAGTAGGTTAGATGAGGTTAGGTTCATTTATTTATGTTTTAACCCCACATTTTCCCTCTGCTTCAAAGCTGTACCCACCTTTGGTAAGATCAAGATTGACTGAGTGGGAAGGACGTTAACTCAGAAATTATGTATTTCCCAACTTTCAGTACATATTACTTATGAAAAGACTAAAGACTTGGGCAAATGCAAAGATGGCTAGACAGAGCTTTAACTTGAGCCCAAGATCTAGGTAGCTATGCTGTGGTGTTGACAGCTCTGTTGAATTACTAGTACAGACCCTCGAAACTGGATGTCAGAAAATAGAGATTCTCAGAAACTAGGCATTTTATTCCCTGGTGCAGGTACAGATACAGTACAGTGACCCCTCGTTTAACGAACACCTCGGTTAACGTAATTTCGATTAACGAACTGCCTTCCATAAGGATCTTCAATTCGGTTAACGAAAAAAAATTCGCTTAACGAACTTCTTACGAACCGACCTCAACATGTTTTCGCTTGCACTGACCGGGCAACCAGCTTTAGTATCAGTCCGCCAATACATTAATCGGTTCTAGGGCTTAAATTCCTTACTATTTTTGTAAATATCAAGAAGTTTATACTATTCAATAATTTTAAAAGTTTAATATTCAATTTTTTAGTCATTTTAACAATTATTGAACAAATTGAAGGTAAAGTGACTAGTTTAATGCGCGGCATCCAGCCTCTTAACACAGCAAACAGGCGTCAGTCTCTCTCTGTTTTCACTGGAGGTAACATCTTGCTTGAGACTCTCTTCAACTAAATGCTTTTTTTCTGTGTTTCCAAGCAAATTATTGGTCATTTTGAAATATATTTTATATATTGACAATATATAATGCAGTGCAGCATTGATTTAAAGAAAATAATCTTGAATTAAACCAGAGAGCTAAAATTTTATGGGTGAAATGGCACCATGGGGTGACTTCTCTTCCACCCCAATGCCTTCTCTTCTTCCTTCTCCTCCACCCCCATTCTAAATCCCATCATCATCATCATCATCCAGGAGCCTTCTACATACACACCTCAAAGTAAGTGAACTTTTCTACCATTTTTGTTGAATTTAGGAAATTTTCGGTGAGCTGGAACCAACCCAAAACCCATTGAAACAATGGTTTCGGTTAACGAACGTTTCGTTAACGAGCGACCTTCTGGAACGGATTGAGTTAGTTAACCGAGGGCCACTGTACTATATATTCTGGAGTCAGTTAGGTCCAAGTTTTGAGGTTCATGTTTATTTTTAAGGTCTTTCTCTTTTTATTTTCTGTGCAGTGTTGAAGATTTGTGATTGAAAATTTTTTTTTTTACAATTTGTGTATTTTCAACAGCTCAGCCAGAGACAGATGCCATCCGTGGTGATCACTATGGCAGAGTATTGGATGCCTATGCCTGCCTTGGGATCCTTCAGGTCTGCCCCCGTAAGTATTGTGACCTTTGTTTTTGTCACTGTGCAAGATCAATATTCTTTCTTTGGATTATAGAAATAATTAAGTACATAACAACTGAGGTGTTTAATCATCTTTCATTGTCAAACAACTATTGTTTCTGTTTTAACCTTTACTGTGTGTTGCTTGTCAAAATTTGAAAATCCTAAGGATGTGGAATACATTACAACCAGATGTTAATACAGTATATTATTACATATGGGTCTTCTGTGTGTAGGCACAGTAGTCTTTTAAGGCCCATTTCAGTTTAAGCCCTTTTTTCATATTATCTGGCTAAAATTTATATCCAAAGGCACAGAGTATTATCAGTCATTAAGTTTTGTAAGTGGATAAGCATTTGTTTCGAGTGTTTTTACCCAATGTCGTGGAAAGTGTACAAATTCCTTCAACAGTGACTGCAGTATTTCTATGTTATAGTGTACATGTATCATCTCCCCCAAACTCTTTTCTTACCTCCATCAATTCCTTCTCTTTGTGAGTCCTTACAGTGCTGTACAGTATTTATCAGTCAATCATTTTTTGTCTTTTTCAATGGGGTAACTTTATGGCATTCTCGGAAAAGTAATTTGCCGCCAGCTTAATTATTCTTGGAAAACAAGCCGTCCTATTTGATGTAGATGTTAGATGGAACATTTTCCATCTTGTAGGTTAGGCTTTAATTTTTCTCCACTTAGGTAATACAGTATATCCAAAATTACATCTAAACAGCTTTAAGATGAAATATGCATCACCTGCATTCAAGTTTTCCATAAAAATGACTTATGGATTAGGTTAGGTTAGGTTAGGTTAGGTGCAGTGGTTATGCATGTACTGTACCTCACAACTGTGGCCTGGACTCGATCCTGGCCTAGGTCAGATGTGAGAAGGGTGTTACCCAGTGTTACCCAACCCAATAAGCAGGTTTTCTCTGGGTACTCCAGTTTTATCTTGTATTCCACTAACACTGGACAATAAAGGTCATAACAAAGTAACATAAAACAGACCAACTGCCTTACTGGCAAGTAGAATAAGCTGATCAATGGTGAAATGATACATTGATAAAATAAAAAGAAACTTAAGCTGCTCACCAAGATTTATTTATTTTTGTTTTGTTTTATGACATTTAAGATTTTTTATGAATTCACAAGACCATTTATTAAGGTTGGGGGATGGAACAATGAAGAGGGAGAGCTTATGACTGGAAGGTTTAAAGAGGTAATTTAGCTTTTGGATCTAGGTCAGTACAGTATATACATCCTAACCTCAGTGGACGAATGAGGAAATTAGGATTACCGTAAGTCTGCGCTTAATGCCGTTTGCTTAACATTGCTAAACTTTAGAGACCAAAAATTCGTTTAACATCCCGGTGATCCGATACAACGTCGTTTTGCGTTGTCACACACTATTTTCTACGGCGCATCACCCCCATCGTCTGGTCGCGCTACACTCTCTTGGCTCGTCGCAGAGTCTCCGTGACACACCACCCTCCTCTCTCACCCTCCTCCTCTTCCGCCCTCCTCCACTCCCACCCTCCTTCTCTGTTCCCGCCATCTGCCTCCTCTGTTTCATGACCCACCACACACTCGCTCTACCACCTCCGCCCATCGGTGAGTACCAATACAAACTTAGTAGTTGTATATGTATGCACTATTTTCTATATAAATGGCAATGATTTTCTGTATATGTAATGTATTTGATGGGCAAAGGGAGGATCAGGAATGTAACTCCCATATTTTATCTATTTCTTATGGGGAAAATTGATCCGCTTAACGTCGTTTTGTATAATGTCGCGTTTTTCGGAACGTAACCCCGAAGTTAAGCGAGGACTTACTGTACAACTATTAATTGGTTGGTTAGAAATATTAAAGCTGTTCGTTGGCTCTGTACTTGACCAGTGTTATCCCACTGATTGGCTTCTGGTACTTCCCTAGCTTTTAGTACTGTACTGTATAGTAAAGTCCCAGTTCAAGGTTTAGTACTGTACTCCCCTGTGAGTTGAAACTGGCTCTGAGAAACTTCACTAAAGGTCTCATGGGCATAGCCTGAACTCTTGTGACAGAGATCCATTCTTGCTAAATCGTTTAACTGTGAACCGTACATTTTATATAGAATTTTTGGTGTTAATAAATCAGTCTCTCTAACTTTGGAACTGTTTACAACAAACTTGTGTAGAGCAAAGGAGTACATTACTGTACAACAATTAATGTATTTTCTATCTCTTTCATTCCTTTCTTAGCTTGTTTAGAATGATGCAAGTCATTTGTTGAATTGAAGAATGAAATATGAAATCTTATTTTATAGCCAAAGGAAAGAGAGATATATTCTGAAATCCCTTGGGCAGATTTCTTACTGATAGGAAAATGCGAGAAAAATTAGAGAGATTTATGTGAATAACTGAAGGGCTTCAGGGTTGATCCTGGTTTACATATTGACCACTGGCTCTTCCAATCCTTGCCAAATTTGGGATTAAGCTTTCTTCAGAAACCTTGATTTACCAGGTCAAGTTACTGTTCTGCAGAAATTTACCTAGATACAACATGACACACTCCTTGCCACAAGTGCAGAGCTCCCTGGACCGAGCAGGTTCTGATGGGATAATCTCACAGGACACTTGTACAGTATCTGTCTCTCAGCCATAAAATGTGATTTCATGTATCAATCAGTTGCTGATTTTGAACAATAACTGTTTAGTGGATATTTAATTTCCTGCAGTTTATAGGAATCTCAAACGTACTGTAAATTATAAAATGTATTCATACCAAAATAAGTTTTATTTGTTAATGTGTAGACGTTAAACTTTTCATGTGTTCCATGAAGTAATTGGTGCATCTGAGATATTTGTAAAATCAATATACATTTATTCATGCATTTAATATTGTAGTACTGTACAGTAAGTATATGGAATTTTATTAATGGATTTTATTGATCTTTCACCTGTAGACTAACTACTCTCTCTTAAGTTAAATATTTGTGTAAAGTTTGTTTTAGGGAAAAGTGAATCTATGCTGTACAAGATTTAATTTTTTTCAAACCACTCTTTGTGAAGAAATTTATAATGCATTAATATGAGATGTGATGATTTTTCAGCCAAATCCTTTGAAAGCATCGATGCCTTCGGTACAGTTGTGGACAAAAATAATTCAGGAGGGAGGGAGTATGGGAGGGTAGAGGTATAGTAGGTGAAGACTTTGTATCATCACATAGTGCTGGCAGTTAAAAGACTGCAATTTTCATTCCACACCACAAATTATTAATATTTTTGTTTAGTTTAATTATGAGGCAGGTGCAGCTTACACTCCCTCCCTGCTGAAGTCTTTTGTCTACATCTGTACATACAGTATATAGCTACATGGGTAATTGCTTTTACAAGATTGATGATATTGTATAATGTTCTTAGTAATTAAATCTCAGGTTATCAAAGTTAGTATCACTTGTTCCTGAGTAAGAATTTTTCATAGGCTACCAATCATCTTGTACAGTATTAGTTTGATTAATCAACTTCCAATCATGATTTATAATCATCTCTTGGTAGCCATCGTGTTTCCAATCTTGGATCCCCCTGTTGAATATTCATGTAAGTAAAGGGGCAGCTATACTGTACTGATCCCTTAAGGGATTTTGAGCCAGTGTACACATTTCTTTAAGACTAAATTTTTCCAGTTTTTAAATTCAGGGCTGAATTAGGCTCCTCGTTCAGTGATGACTAAATTGTGATGTACAGTATATTTGTTTTAATAAATTTATGAGTTTAAAAGGCAGATAATTTAGGGAAAAAAGTTTGAGTTGTCTAGACCTGAAGAAGAGCACTAGAGGTGTGAGTCTAATGCATCCTGATCCAATGTTTTTTTTCTTACTAAGTGAAGGCTGGGTGAAAATGTTGGTCATTATCTATTGAGTTGCTTTCTAGCCTTGATGAGACACTTGTTGTTTTGAATATAATGTTGTACTGTAGCTCTCTTTTTTATATTGATCATATTGCATTTTTTGATACCAGTACAGTATACAGTAACTACATAATATTTTGATATGAAAATTGTACAGTTTTAACACTAGTAGCTATACAGTATATTACAGTACAGTACAGTATATGGTAAATTTTTTGATAGTTTATTTTGTCTTCACATACTGTACAGTGTGTATCAATGAGACATCCAACATTATCTGCATTTTTTTTTTACTCTCTCTCCAAGTGCATGGAGAATTGGCTGGAGATCAAAATTCCTCATTTACTTTTTTTGGCACATCTGGATGTCATTCCTTGGTAAATGAAGGAAAGAAACTTATTGAAATGGCATCTGCGACTCACAATCCCATCATGTGTGTTTTAGTGTGAATGAAAAATAGCACTTGTGTGTTAATGTCTTGCTGAAATACTTCCAATAATCTGATACTCATTGTATATAGTCATTTTGTATACTGGCTTGGAATATTACTAAGTGATTGTACATTGATATTGTTTGTGTTTTTTTGTGCTTCCAGGGATATCATGGGAAGGTAATGATGTTTACAATGTTTTGAGAATTTAGTTGTGGTATGCAAAAGTATTTGCTGTCGTAATTAAGAATAGAGACTAAATCTTCTTGTTTATGACAATATTTCCTTTTAATTTAATTAAGAAGTTTTAAAGCTAGTTTTTGTGTTCTTCTAGAAAACCTTCTCTTATAATCCGTAGGGTGGCTCAGATGTGTGTGGAACCTGTGGGCCCAATAGATGATACTGGCCTATGTAACTAGATGTGTAGTCTTCTATTTTGAGTATTTGGGGGTCACTGTGATATTAGTTCTGTAATAGAGTTTTGTGGGCTGGACTATGCACTGTTTGTTCAACTAGACCTAGTGTTTTTACAATTAGACTGTTAACAACTTGGGATGGTAGACTGCTTTAAGTTAATGATGATCATATGGTTGAAGGAGTTTTTCTGGGGTGGAAATTTAAAGATTTATTGATTTTAATTTGTGTTTTCTAAAGAAGGGCCAGATAAAGTTTACTTTTTTAATTTTATTTATTTTATTTTATTTTTGCAATTTTGGAGAAGCAAGTTTGCATGTAAGTGGACTAGGGGCAGGGGTTGGCAGTATCCTCCCAGAAGATGATGGTATCATTAAAAACATTTTTCAATATCCTGGGAAAATTACACTGTATATAGTTTAGCCAATATTTCAAACTTCAAGTGTATGAAAAATGTTACCTGAAGAATATAGTTTTCAGCATAACATGGTTCCAGTAGAGATGTACTTACTAACAGTACTATTTTTTTTTCTATTTGCAATACAGTACAGTACATATGAGAACTTCATTAAGTGTTGGTAATAGCACTACTAATGATACTGTACACATGATATGTGTATTAAAATGAAAGTAAGTATTAAAGGAATATGGTACTGTACCTGTAAGCATAATGAAAAGTGACAAAAATAAGTAGTTCAGCTTACTGAACATCAAAGTTTAGTTACAGTACTACAGTACTTTGTCTGGCATGGTTAAACAAGCTCTTGATATAACTGGGTTCACTAGCACAAGTACATCATCAGGTGAACGTACCAATCACTTAAAACCTTAAGTGCATTATACACAGTCATGTGTCAAATTGTATACAGTACAGTAATATTGTTCAAATTGACTTGCAAGAGAACAAGAAAAGGCCTCTCAGTACTGTACATTCCTGCCTGTTATTCTGCACAGTTCTGAACCCACAGAATTTTGTCTGAAAGCCACAAACAACAAAGGTCAAACTAGCCCAGGCCCAAATGGAAATGCACACATCTACAACCCTTAATTTTGTTATACTCTAGGCTTTATCTTACTTGCAGTCTTTCGAATTAGCATAATGTTATGTCTATTAAGTAGCCTCCTTGTTTTTTATTTATTCTCTACCTTTCCAACCTCCTTTTTCTGTGTAGCTGTAAGGTATAACTTCTCTATCTCCCCCATTTCTACACTAATTCAGTCAGTCACTTAAAGACCTGCTCATTGTGAAAAATCATTACTATATGTCTCTACAATTAAATGAATACACTGTATAGTACTATAGAGCTTTATAGGTACTGTATTTAGATATTGACAGACACCCAGTAGTACCAGTACTGTACAATATAGATATAAGTAGTACTGTACCTGTATTTTCAAAATGAGAAACTTCATCAGTCAGTCACAAAGTCTTGAGAAAACTAGACATATCATGTGTTTGACAGTACTATACAGGGTGTAGTTCCTTTTTTGTATATCAGTCATTACACAGCAACTGAATTGATACTCTTTGTTTTAGGAGAAAACACACAATTGTATCTGGTCTTGGTTACCAAGTGTGTCCGGGTATGCAACATCCAGAATACTGCCATCTACAAAATACAAGACATTGACATCATCTCGCTTTATTCCATGAGACAACCAAGTTTTAAGGCTCAGGTTAGTTGAGTGCATTTATTTATTTATTTTTCACCATTTTATGGTAAATATTTATACCAGGATTCCTGCCTTGAGGGTTGTTAATTCACAAGTAATATTATGCTTTCTTGATAAAACTTGAAAGACTGGTGATCATAATGGAGACTTCCAAGGGCTTAAATTGCCATTTTTATTATTGATATGTCCTAATTCCCATAAGGCTGTTGTATCCCTCCTGATATTTTGGTTTGGTCAAATATATATTACATGGCTGCTAACATTTTCATTCCTCAAGCTTCCCCAAAACTTCCAAGTGTGACTCGGGGGTCTGTGCTGTTTGTCCAGTTATGAATTAAGTCTGACTGTCAGTGTAACGCACAGAAGGCTTCATTACAAAGTCCTTTATTGGCCTTGGCACAAAGAGTTTTGGTATAAATTTTTGTCTGTAATATGTAGGGAAAGCATTTAGGGACAAGAGGATTGTGTTCTTTATGGACAGTACAGTACAGCAGCAGTGGCCCATGTGAATACTGTACCAGGGAGTTCTTCACATATATTGGGCAGCCAGAGCTTTTCCACTGATATTATAGAAGTGATGCAGTCTTGGCCCTGAGCTCAGGGCTGGGAATATTTTATAGTAAGGACCCTTCCTCAGCCTTAGTTCCTTTATGAATAGTTTCCCAAAAATGTTTCCTAGTAGCAACTAAATTTTCTTAGCTATATCACAGCCAGCCATTTTGCAAATATATATATATATACTGTATATATATATATATATATATATATATATATATATATATATATATATATATATATATATATATATATATATATATATATATATATATATATATATATATATATATATATATATATATATATATATATATATATATATATATATATATATATACTGTACTGTATATTTAATTAAAAAGTGAGTATTTTATATCACAGTTCCTTTATTTCTAGGAAGAAGAATCATGGATAAGAGAAATGAAGAAATTGTTGGGAAATGAAAGTTTTTATTTTAGTACCAGCACTGCGGGTACTGAAGCCATGGACCTTACTCTGTGTGCACAACGTCGGGCCAAGACCAGTCGCACGGACAACAGATTCTTTTGGTTAGCAGTGTTTCTTTTGGTTAGCAGTGTTATATTAATTGTTACTATAGGATTATATTTCTATTTGGCTTCCAGTTAACTGGCTTATAGTATCTTCACGGGGGGTCCGATGAATTAGATTAGAATATGAACGCCATTAAGAGAGCTCAGGCTCTCAATTGGCTCAGCCATGCCAATATTGTTATTATTATTGACTCTGTATCTGTATTTATCTGGCTAAATAAAGGGTTTCAATATCAATATCAATATCAAAGGTTTATGTCCAATGGTTTAACATAAGAATTATGTCTTCATTATTAATTTTATTGAATTTGGCATTCCCTGTGGTAAGTATTGCTTACACACACAATTATTAATTAATTTTTAAAAATAAAAAATGGTGACTTACCACCTCCTACACCCTATCCCACAATTCACCTTTTTCTTGACAGTACTCTCAGATACTTAGCTCATCGTAGGAAGGGTTTCCGAGTCTTTAATGAATTTCTATGAATACTTCAACCAGCTGTTTGTTGAAGCATTGAGGTACTTAAAACAGAATGTATAAGTAAACTCACAATATATTGATTCTTGTTGGATGTGTACTGTACTTGTTCTCTCTCTGGGTATGAATACAGCTCTAGGTGTGTTCCAGGCCTGAAGCCAACATCTAGACATAAAGCATGGGAACTAATCCCCATTTGACACATTACACTTAACTAACTTATTACAGTAGTTTAATGTATATGCATTTAACTCTGTTAATTCATATTAATTGTTAAAATACAGTGGTAATTGATTAATTATTAGTGTATTTATATAAATTAATTTACTAGATTTAAAGTAAATGATGAGAATAGTCAACTCGTTTCAACCCCGCTCATCAGACTAATTACTTATGAAAATAATAAACCCTCACCAATAATCATGTTTTTATACACATGAATCATGGATTACACAAATTATTGTAAGAAATCCATGGATTACCCAACTAAAAAGCTTATTTCAAGTAAAATTCACACAAAACCACTACAGGTACCTAAACATCTGTAGGTGCTTTAGGGCTCTGCAGGGCAAGTTACTACGAAGGTTTTATTTACAATTTAAGATTATTACGTGGAATTATACAAAATAATTTCCACATTCCCTTACAATTATTTGTCTTCCCTTCACTATGGTGACGGTACTTTTAATACTTTATATGGCTAATGACAGACAATTTTATTCAGCTCAGGGGGAAGCCTGTACACAAGGAGTTAAAATTCATTTGTTATATATTTGATGTACCTCCAGCCCAGTTTTCAAGACTTAAAAAAAAATATGAATAACTTTAAGATCGACTGAAACAGAAAAGTAAAAATTTAAGACTATGATGTGTTATAAATAAAAGTGAACTGTAGTGTACATATTAAGACATAAAATAGTCAGTCAGAATCCATGATGTAAGTTTATTTTCAGGAATCGAATGCTTCACCTGCACTTAAAGCGATTTGGTGTGGACTGCCAACAGTGGTTGATTAAGGTCATGTGTGGCAGTGTTGAGTTTTCCTCCATTTACATGAACAATCATACACCCAAGATTCTCATAATTTCAAGACTCAGCTGTGAGAGAGCTGGAACAAGGTGGGTTTGATGCTATAATTTAACTTTGAGAAACTGTACCATTTAATAGTAGCCAAGTCCATCAGATAGGTAAATATTTATAGATATATCTGTGGAATATCTAGATAGGTTGTTGCTCTCTGATGGTTAGTGTCAGGCTGTGTGAAGGAAGCTTTGCACGCTCTCAATTTAAAAGTCAACCATGTGACAACGCATGTGTAGGTGGACCTGCCTCTGTGATGGGCAGATTAATATGAGATAAATTTACCATGTATGTAGGTTAATCTTACTAAGATTCACATTTGATGAGATATAACTGTACAGCACTAAGAGGCAGGAAGTGTCCATGGCACTGAATTTATCTAACCCCCACATAATGAATTTCTGGGAGAAGAAGGGTCCTTACATGTAGCTAACAGAAATTGCATATCACATGTAGGTTAACCTAAAGTTCCTTATTGGCTGATTTACGGTACATCATTGTTGTTAAACACTAAGATACTGTACAAAAATAATTGATAAAATGCAATTAAATCTTGAAACCTCATTAGCTGAACTAGATTATTATTGTTAATTGCCAATACTGTGCAGCATAAATCTGTAGTCATTTAAGAGAGGAAGCTAAGACAAAGGAGATTTATAAATAGTTTAAATATCTCATTTGGTCAAGTTGGTATTGTTGGCAAGTGAACCTGAGTGTCTGAATGTGACCCTCTTGTTTGGAACCGCTACTGAATCTATTTATATCTGGATCCAACATGGTGACAAGCCTACAGATTTCTTGATTGCAGTAAAAGAATGTAAATGTGTAAATATGTAACATGTCTTAAATTTGAACATTACTGTACATGTTTTTTTAGGGTAGTGTCAGACTGCCCAGAAACACTCAATGGTGGTCTGTACCTTCGGTCTCTTGAGTTTTTCCTCGGTCCTAAAATTAGAGAATTGCTTCACTCGTCAACCTAGGAGACTTGGTGCACCTAAATCCACTGATTTCAATAGGAGTAATGTTAAGGACAATAGATTAAAGAGATTGATAGTTTGGTAGACGTATGCTATTATTCTGTTCTATCCAGAGTCAGCGAGTTTTCATATTATTTTTTCCAGGTTCATGGTGCGAGGTGTCAATGATGGAGGACACGTCGCAAACTTTGTTGAAACAGAACAGATGATTCACATTGACACGATGGATGATGTGGTGTTGTCATATATCCAGACTCGTGGAACTGTACCTTTATTCTGGGAACAACCTGGACTTAATGTAAGTTGAGTGTGAGTTTTTCTCTCCTGTATGTAGAATGGTCACTCTAAAGGTCTTATGTGAGGCCGCCCTAGAATTTTCTGGATCATTTGTTGTTCCTTTTTTTAATTCATTTAATATTAAACCAGACATCTCATTTGGCTTCCACCCATTGTAACATTACGAGGTCCAACCAGTCCTCTTAAACATCACAACTTAGTTTACTCTGTCATCTAGTAAAGGATATTATTATGACATTGTACCTTTACCAGATGACTCATTGAATTAACCTCTTTTAAGTTTATGGATGGACAACCCTGGTGAACTATTGACAATGCCTGGGAATATACCATTGATTAGTTGTCGCCCCACATTGTAACCATATCCTTTTAACACCTTGTTTACGGGTTTCCCTCTGGGCTGAATAAAATCTGCCGCTACCCAAATAAAATATTAAAAATAGTATCCCTGTAGTGAAGGGGTTAAGAAGGAATAATTAGAAGTGAAAATCACCACATCCAGTTTGAGACTGATGCCTCATGAAATCACACTTGCTTTGCTTACCATGCCCATCACTTGAGGCTCAGCCATAAGCAGTCATTTCCCTTGTTCCAGATGTTATTTCTTATTGAGCAGATTCCTCCTTATTTTTCATATCTCATAGAAGGAGCTAAGTGCATGTTGCCTTTGTTTCTTGGTACTTAAATAATTATTGGTTGAATTTCACACAGTCCTTAGTACTGTAGTATAATATGGAAAGCGTATATGCATATCTTGCTTTCATGTTGCAAGAGCATTTTAAGTTTGCTAACAACCTAAGTTGAACCAGCATGTGGGTACGATGACCTAAAGATACTTGTATTGCCTCTACCAAATAATGAGTTCATAGTCAGTCATCATCGTTGCCTTGACTGGTCTGAACAAGGTGTGGTTCTGGGGTCGTTTTAGAATGAATAACCCTTGTATAGTTACATAAATGAGTGCAGAGATTGTATGGCATTTCCCAGCTTCTTGTACAGTATTTAGGAATTGTTCTTGAGGTTCAGGGAGTTTGCAGTTCTATTTTGTATATGTTCTTGTGTGTACAGCAGCTCTGTTGTTTTTACTAGTGTGAGTTATATGACACTTATGGCCAGGCCAAACAAGAAGTTTAACAATGAGAGGGATGACAGAGACAGGGTCAGCCACTGTAGCTGCACTTTCTCTGCATAATATTCACCCAGTAATCATTTCTGTTGAATCTAATTAACTCCATCCTCTTGCATCCAGAGTCCGTTGTTCACTCACTTATAATAGTGTTGTTGGCTCGGTGATTCTGCCGTACATCCCTGTCTATACTTCCTTTGATATGGATTTCTATCTCTCAGTAAATAACTTTCTTTCTCTTCACTGCTCAGAGGTTTAGTTCATCACTAATTGGTCCATTATAATATAACCATTCATCGAAATTTTTTTTTCCCTAACTCTTATGTCAGTTGTAGCTTATGTTATTTTGTGCAGGATTATTTGATATTAGTTCTTTAACATGTACATTTCAGGTCGGCTCACACAAGGTAAGGATGTCTCGAGAACCAGAAGTGTCTGTTCAAGCCTTCCAAAAGCACATGCGGTTCTTAAGGGAGCGTTATGGTCAGCAGGTGGTCATCAACCTCTTGGGCACAGGTGTTACTGGACGAAGTCAGGGAGAGGCAGCACTCTCTCATGTGTTCCAAGTAAGTGGACTATAGAGGCAGGTACAATAGCATGTGCCTACCATTGGGTTTCTCAAGTTCCCATTTTCTATGCCAGTCCCTAGCCCCAGTGTTCCTCTATCAGATAATGATGTCAGGCAACGTGGATGGATACCCCTCCAGTATGGTACAAACCCCATCTAAAAACAAAGGCAGAAAACATGCAGTACAGCCTGGAAATTGAGCTGAGCTGAGGTATTCAGACATATGCCCTTGCTACTTTATATGCCTCACTTCTTGTATGAATAACTTTATTGAAATTTTAAACCAGTTTTAGTTTTCACTTGTTAGTCTAGAATTTGAATAAAAAATGAATGTTAGTGTGAGAGAGTACCCGGTCACCGTGGTTCGATTCCCAGGCACTCCCACTTCACCCAGCTGTAAATGGGTACCTAAGTTAGCAACTTGGGGAAGTGAATGTGGTCGAGTGCAGTACCGGCCATGCTGCCTCCTTGTGTACTGAAGGTTTAGTAAACAGTGGGCAGTATCCACACTGTACCTAATGGGCAGTCATGCCTATGGGACCCACTTTCACAGTGTGGAAGGGAGTGTCTGGGGGTAGAGTGACAAAGGTGGGGGGAAGCAGAGGGCAGACAGTAACTATTGACGATGAACTTGTGTCTTCCACAATGACAGAGGCAACTGAGAGCCCTTTTGAGGTGTGGGTAGACTGAACAGGCCTACTGGAACACTTGAAGTGGTTTATAAATACAAAATTTGACTTAAAATTATGGCTGTTCTTATGTGAGGCCCGTCACAGTTGTGTAAGTGAGCTCATATGAGGTATGTTGACATTCATGGGTTAATTTGCAAAATCTCTCTCTCTCTTATGTTTATATTATTTACTTTCTCCATACACTTTACATCCTTCCTCCAACCCACTTTACTCCTTCACCACATATTTCATTCCTTCTCATTCCACACACTATATTCCCTCTCCCACACACTATATTCCCTCTCCCACACACTAAATTCCCTCTCCCACACACTATATTCCCTCTCCCACACACTAAATTCCCTCTCCCACACACTATATTCCCTCTCCCACACACTATATTCCCTCTCCCACACACTATATTCCCTCTCCCGCACACTATATTCCCTCTCCCGCACACTATATTCCCTCTCCCGCACACTATATTCCCTCTCCCACACACTATATTCCCTCTCCCGCACTATATCCTCTCCCGACACTATTCCCTCTCCCGCACACTATATTCCCTCTCCCACACTATATTCCCTCTCACACTATATTCCCTCTCCCACACTATATTCCCTCTCCCGACACTATATTCCTCTCCCACACTATATTCCCTCTCCCACACTATATTCTCTCTATTCCTCTCCCACACACTATATTCCCTCTCCCACACACTATATTCCCTCTCCCACACACTATATTCCCTCTCCCACACACTATATTCCCTCTCCCACACACTATATTCCCTCTCCCCACACACTATATTCCCTCTCCCTCTCCCCCACACTATATTCCCTCTCCCACACACTATATTCTCTCTCACACACTATATTCCTCTATATTCCACACTATATTCCCTCTGCACACTATATTCCTCTCCCACACATTATATTCTCCTCCACACTATACTCCCTCTCCACACACTATATTCCCTCTCCCACACACTATATTCCCTCTCCCACACACTATATTCCCTCTCCCACACACTATATTCCCTCTCCCACACACTATATTCCCTCTCCCACACACTATATTCCCTCTCCCGCACACTATATTCCCTCTCCCACACACTATATTCCCTCTCCCGCACACTATATTCCCTCACCCACACATTATATTCCCTCTCCCGCACACTATATTCCTTTTCCCCACATAATTTCCTCCCTCTCACCCCCAAAAATAGTTTATTTCTTCCATACACTTTACTCTCTTTCCTTACATTTCCCTCAGATGTAGACATCATCATCATCATCATCATCATCATCATCCCTACCTGCAGGGAGTTGTACTGTACCTAACATCAGCCTGGGCCTGAGATCTCACTTCACCATTTTCCTTTATCTATGATTCACTCAGCAGCCTATTACATTATACACCATAAAATTGATTTATGATGATTTGCAGATTCAACACATTAATTGCCCCTGGAGCAAGGACTCGCCTCACATCGTTTTCGACTTTCATCAAGAGTGTAAAGGTGGACACATAGAAAATTTGGGTAAAAAGCTGCAGCCTCGAATAAAGGAAGAGATGGAAACATATGGTTACTTCTGCCTCAGGAAAGGTCAGGTGCAGTCAGTAAGTACCTCCTCCTGTGCCTTGCCTATACCAGATATCAAAACTTTACAGTAATTGAAATGTATACAAAATTTAAGTTCTGTAATTGCATGTTATTTAGTTAATTTTTCCAATATCCACAGTTACAACGCGGCACTATGAGGACAAACTGCTTGGATTGCCTTGACAGAACGAACAGAGTTCAAACTTATTTTGGCTTAGATTCCCTAAACAAAATGTTAGAGGATCTTGGAGTGTCAAACAATGGAATTATTGTTCAGCGATTCACATCCAAATTGGAGGAGATGTGGAAGGACAATGGTAACCGCATCAGTCAAATATATGCTGGAACTGGGGCTTTACAAGGCTCAAAGGTAAGTCATGATATTAAGTGACTTGTGTAACATAAAGAAGTGATGAATTAAATTTTTATTTATTTTTTCTTAACTGTGCAATAGACTCGGGGAAGTACACACGATAGTGTTTCATTTGAAGGACAACATGACTCACAAGTGAAAATATTCATGGGACACTTGTCTTGTGCATCATGGACAAGAAATATGAAGATTTTTTATTTAATTTTGCGGTGCAAACAGCTAGCTGGGCGGGGTCATTAGTCATTGAGGTAATCTTTGAAAAGTTCCATCATATGGGTGTCATCTCAGGGGACACATTGACCAGAGTCAATGGGTTAATGTTTAGCTACAGAAACTGGACATAGATACCTTCAGTCTCTTTATATGGTAAAGCAATTCACAGTTGCATGTGTGTGGGTCTTTATGTGGAGCTTAGAGGGGTAATGCTGTACTGTACAGTACTCATCTGGTTTACATCCCATGCTTGCACAATAGCTTGGCATTTTGTATATTCCTCCAAAATCATTTCATCTTGAGAAGACTATTGACATATGGGAAGATGCTTGTGTTTGGATACCTGAAAAAATCCTATAGTGTATCACCACTGGATTGCTTGACACCTAGGACCCTGTACAGTAGTGTTATTCTCCCTGCTTCTTGGGATAAAAGGTACAAGTTGCATTAATGCTTGAAGTTCATGGTTTTGTCCTCCGGTTTGTATAAGCTGAGTTGAGTGTACAAGTCACTAGATCATTTCATTCACTTTAGACTTTTCTGGTGTAAAGAAAGGTGGAGAGAAAGAAAAAGATCAATACAGATATCCTCTCCTCATGTGTTGGGATTCATTTACTGTTACTTCTGTTTCAGGTGAGTGAGTTAGTTGGTATTTAACATAACCTTTACCCTCTTGTAAATTGTACAGTTGTGGATAAAGAGACTTCAGCAGGGAGGGAGTGTAAGCTGCGTCTGCCTCATAATTAAAGTAAAAAATTTAGTTTGTGATGTGGAAAGAGAAACACACAGACTTTTATTCGTCACCACTATGTGACGTTGCCAAGTCTCCACCTACATCCCTACCCTCCCATACATCACCTCCCTCTCTTCCTGCCTGTCAAAATCTTTTTGTCCACAGTTGTACAGTCCCCTTCACTAATGAGTTTACAGGGGCTCGTCAGGTTTTGTTCAGTGTGGCAGCCCCGTGTTTGTTTACATTCGATAGAAGGAAATTCGCAATAGCAAACCTACCATGGAATTAAAGTATAACAATATTAAAACAAATATCCCAATGTAATATGTGGAATGTTTATATGATGAGCCCCTTTAAATGCACTAGTGAGGGGGTGGGACTGTACATAAAGGAAACTCTCTAAATGGTATGGTTCTCTTCAGTTGATTGATGGGGCAAGATCAGCTGCAAGAACATTTCAAAACAACCTTTTGGACAGTAGCAAACAAGAAGCCATTAATATTCTCTTGCATGGGAACCTCCTTAATAACTACCTAGCAGCTCTCTCCAGATCTCTGCTACCATCAAGCTACCTCTATGGTAAGACAAACTTAAAGATTATTAATATGATTTTGACAAACTTTGCATTTCCATGTGTTTTAGTTTTTCTTCTTTAAGTAATTATACATTTAGCTATATTATATTACCTTCAGTTATTCCATTAATGGTGGTGTGAAATTATGTTCAGATTCTTTTTAGGTTTTAATATATGAGATTGTTTTTTAATAAGTGTTTGTTAGGGTATTCAGGTACAGTATGATGTGCTTTGTTGTGCATGATCACCTAATTCTTGCCTTACACATCGCCATCTATAACGACCTGGGCAGCTTGGTGGACCAGTCAGCACCATGCGTGGTCCCCATATCACAGCCACACCTCCTTTTATTCTCTCTCACAACTGGTAACCAACAAACATCATTTTAAAAACTGTGCTTCATACACACTATTATTTGTGCAGATTTCAACCATTATTGTGATTTTGTTCATTCTCTTCTACAGACTTGGAAGGTATTGAGGTCAACACTTGTCCACAACACCTTATATTAACCATTCTATCTCCATTCAGACCATTTCTTTTTGTCTCCTTTCATCATTTTCGTTCTTGTTCAATATTAACATTTTCCTTCGTCACACAATTCACTCATTCACTATCATAATGTAATAGTAATACTGTATTGAATACAGTATATCCATAAATATAATAAAAATTTCCCACAGCTCCCATCAGTGTGCTGCGTCAGTTGTGTCAACGCAGCACAGAATATACATCATCAATTCCTCTACGAGTCGCTGTTGGGACGTACAATGTTAATGGAGGGAAACATTTCCGAAGTCTGGCATACAAACACCTGTCGCTGGATGACTGGCTACTGGACTCCAAGAAGAATGCTGTTCAGAGTTGTATGTCTTTTTTGTTTTCAAGGTTAATGCATTTGTTATGGTTAGGTTGTGTACAGGCGGTCCTCTACTGACACTCATTCAGAGATATGAACAAACCTGTCCACATTTGCAGGTGACATATTTGCCTACAAAATTAGTGTACGCTATTTATACATCAAAATACTGGTAAAGGCTGGTAAAATATACTGTAATGTGTTGAATTTATTATTCAGGTATAGATGTACTGTAAATCTGTTATTACTGTATTGTAATTTTTTACAATACTGTATGTTCAGTGTCTTCAAGAACAAAGTTGAACTAAGGAACAAATAGGCTGATGATCAAGCCTCAGGAACAAAACTCGTTCATAAGTAGAGGAGCACCTGTAATTTATTCTTTTCTAATGTAAAATAATATGATTCTACAATACCTACTATATATTATATTCATGTTATGGCTTAGTATACAGTAAAACCTCCATGATTTTTACCCCTGTAATTCAAAACCACTCATATTTCATGATGTTTTGCAATTATAAAATATATATTACAAATTTCGTAATATTTGATAAAATTTCGGATTAAAAGAGACATGTACGAATATACTGTACAGTATATGATGCACATGTCGCCCTGGGATACGACCACTGACCGCCTGCTTCAGTGTAAACAAGTACGATACGCATCACGCCCGTCACTCACGGTCGGTTCACGTTGGTCAGTTGTGGAGTCTACATCTACGGTAAACTGCGCAAGCTTATCCCACTTGTTTCTCCATCATTGCCCAGTGGTTGAGCCATTGTATTTGATAACCCTAAATCTGGTACTGTACTGTACTTAGAAACATTTAAATTTTGATTGCGACAGATACGGAAAAATACCTTCTTTTTTCTCCCCCTTGGGATAAGGTGTCCCTCATATATAGTAAAATCTCATAATTCGTAAGGGCTAGAGTCGCTATTATTTCATATTATGTGTTTTTTATTGTACCGTACAGTAATATCCTGGTTATCGCAAAGGATACGTCCTTAAAAGTTAATTTATATAACAAATTTATGAATATCAGGGCAATTTTCCCCATAAGAATCAATGTAATTAGGAGGGGGATGTGTTCCCAGCCAGCAGCTTTCACTACATATCTTATTATATACTGTATACACAATATACAGTACAGTCAACCCTCACTTTACGCGGTTAATACCACCCACAGGGTACCGCGGAAAGTGAGAAACGTGTAAAGTGAACAACATAACATATGGGATTAATTGAAATAGAGACCGGGCCGACCCCCAAACTCCACTTTTTGACGACACACAACTATGCTGTAGTAAAAATAACTTCTTAATTTTATGATGGTATGCACACACAATTAATAATTAAGAGAAATATCAATAATAGTAGGTTTTTTAACACTTACATTAGTAGAAAAGATGGCTGGGCACACGGGGATGGGGGGTTGGTTCCGAGGCAGAGGGCAGATTATTGGCCCTCACCTGTATCACTTGTATCAATTGTATCACTATCCACCACAGAGGCTTGCAGGGCCTCTTTGTCAAGCCCCTCAAAGTCCATATAAGTCCATATCCTCACTATAATTATCACTATCACTGACTTGGGCCGGTTGTGGTGGGTGGCAGGTGAAGAACTCGGTAATGTTTTGATGACTGGGCGACCTTGTGCGCACCCTGGTCGCGCCGCTTACACAACATGGCGGATGGCGGGAGAGATGGATCCAAAAATGGCGTGGCTCGCCAGCCGCTCTCCGCATAAAGGGGTACACGCACCACGGAATGTGAGCATCCCGGGTTCCGGCAGGGTACCGCGTAAACGTGGAAACGTGGAATGTGGGACCGCGTAAAGTGAGGGTTGACTGTATACTGTAGTTGCAATGCAATAAAATAAATACAATACCATAAAGACAATACAAAAGAACACATTTCATTAGTCATACACCTTTAATAAAGTTACAATAAACACCTACATATTTTGTGCCACTTATTTGGTTGAAACATTTGCTGGACTTTCATTATCTGAGAATTTATGAATTAAACAATGCAATGACAGAGGGCTGGAGAGTCAAGCTACAGACAAGGACTGGCACATTCATCACTACACAAGTTCCTTATATACAATGCACATGACAGCACCTGACCTCGCCCCACCCGACCCATCCTTGTGATGGTGGTCACCTCTGACAGAGATGCTGATTCACACTTAGAGTGTAACCAATAATATCCTCCCTTGAATAACATGAAGTAGAAGTCAAAGTTAATACAGTATACAGTTCCTCGCCGACTTACGATGGGGTTAGGGACCCAAATGCAGGTTGTAAGTCGAAATGGTCGTAAGGCGAAAATGCTTAAATAATACATAGAAAATCTAAAATGGGTGTCTCTTTTTCTTCTCAGCACCACAAAACTCTCCCTTTACGCTTGCCAGCCATTTTAAAATGAATTACAAACGAAAATTTTGTCAGTACACAGTGCAATCACTGACATTGGGACTCGAAAATACGTAATTTGACAAAATTTTCGTACGACTGAAGCTGTCGTATGTCCGGGTGGTCGTAAGTCGAGTAGGTCGAAAGTCAGGGAGGAGCTGTCTAACTGATGTAGATGTATACTGTATTTATTTGTGTTGTTTTCAGCCCTTGTGGACACTACGCCTGAGGATGAAGTAAGAGATACTAGAGCTCCTGATGTATTTGCGATAGGCTTTGAAGAAATTGTGGATCTAAGTGCCACAAACATTGTCCAAAATACTCAGTGGTCTGAAAATGCTGCATCTTGGGGAAAGGAACTGCAGAAGGTAATAACTGAGTCCTGAGAGGTTTGAGACTTGCATTTGTTGTCATCATTATAGAAATGCCCATCTACCTGTTCATTTATTATTATTATCATTTCATTTTGGTGCCACTTGGTTGACGTTGCCAGTTACCTGGAGTTTTATTGTACGTACTGGTATTTTCAAAATGTTTTTCGAGAATGGATCCTTTTTGTAAATCAAGGACTTTGTGTACTGTATTCAGGTAATTATTAAATTGGAAACAGAGGAGATATTAAAAAGTGCATTTTTTGTAAATGTTTACATTCAACCCAAGTGGGGCTGTAGCATAATAAGGGAATTTTGTCCCCCTTACTTATAGAATGTTAAATAGTATTTGTTGAAAAGTAATATGAAATTAATGACACCTGGAAACCAACATTAATAACTCATAAATAGATATGAAGTATTTCTTATTTACAATCATTTTCTCTTATTAAACTTGACTCTTGTATGTACAATACCTCATACAGTATATTGATATTATCATGCTAGTTTGTTAATTGATGTTTAGAACTATGAAAGGGATGCAGAGCTTCCAAAGTGTGAACCTGTGATGGCTTCTTTTACTGCAGGAGCTGTATTTATGTGTTTTTACCTTATTTGTAACACTACTTATGTCTGTGAACTTCATTTCTTGATTTGGAATCTTCTTTTCCTTCACTAGGTACTATACTACATTCATCCTTTATTCTGGGATACCCATACTTCTCTGCATTAACTGTCTTGTAACCATGGCTTCCATATGCTCTTTCTCTTGTCTTGGCTTGTGATTGGTCATTTAGAATGCACATAATTAATGAAGTGCTGTAGATTGACTAAAATTTGCTTCCACGGAGGATACTGCCACATTATCCAATCACAAAACTGTATGTCATATAGGTGGGTGGTGAGAGCCGAGTGTGACATTTCCATAACGAACAAACTGTAGTTAGATTTTGTTTTCTTGGCAGATATACATTATCTTCCACCACTGTAAACTACAAATTAATTTTATCTGTAAATCTGCAATATCATATTGGAGGTTAAGATACCTTTTGTCTCCACAGGTTATATCCAGAGATGAAAAGTTTGTAATGGTAACGTGGTCACAGCTCGTTGGTGTGGCATTATTTGTGTTTGTCAATGAGAAACACGCCAGCCACGTGCGCCATGTATCTGTTGAGAGTGTCAAGACCGGAATGCAAGGGGCAACAGGTGAGTTAATTGTTGCAAATTCATAAATATATTCTTCGTAGAATAACAAAGAAGAGTTACTGGTACTGTGTGTTAACAGATAGTTTCCACTCTTGCATAAAGTGGCGTAGACTCATCCCTTATTTGCTGTTATTCATTCCCAGTAATGTAGTGTTTTACTGTACTATTGGATTCCTCATCCACAACAAGGCCCCAAAATACAACCAAATCTACCTCGCACTGCGTACAACTCCACAAATACAGTATACTGGTAGTACTGCATGTTTTGGGGGTTTAATTGTCTATAAACTGGCCAGGTCTGGTATGGGACACTTTGAGATAGATGCCAAATAGAATGTTAAAAGTGGTATCCACCTAGTGAAGGAGTTAGTGCAGATAGTCTACTAACCACTTGTATATGGGGCCCCATCTGAGCTGAATAAAATTGTCTGGCATTAGCCAAATAGAATACTCTATTGAAAAGTGGCATCCCCATAGTGAAGGAGTTAATCGTAAGGCTGAGTTTGATAAGGCCATTTTCAATCATTGTTTACCTGCCATAATTATTACCAAAGACTCATTTCTACTCGGTAACAATAGTATTTCCAGATACCATATCTTACTCGCAGCGTGTTGGTGCTAGGCTTGAAAAAAAATTTCCCCAAGTCCTCACAGGGCCAAAAGTGCCTCAAAATTGCCAATATCTCAAAACGTCAGATTGGCACTTATGCCCCTGCTTTAGGAGATGCCTTGTATATGGCAGAATAAGGATTACAAGGACATAAATATTTCCTGGTAGTTATTGTGTGTGTTTTTCATGATTTTATTGAGAAAGAAATGAGATTAATTGCACTTTTTTTTTTCATTACTCAGGAAACAAAGGTGGTGTGGGCATCAGATTGGTGGTTCGAAACACATCAATGGCATTTGTCTGCTCTCATTTTGCTGCTGGCCAAAAGGAGGTTAATGAGCGAAATAATGATTATGACAGCATTGCCAGAAAGCTTATTTTCCCTCTTGTAAGTACAGTACTTATGTTTTTTGTTTTGTTTTTAAATGAAGAGTAATGATGCATGAAATTCATTTTAAATCCTGTGTATTTTTCTGAGGTAATAATTTAACCATACTATATACAGTACAGGGACAGACAGAAATACAGTGAACCCTTTGCTAATTGAATATCGTTGGAGCTCTGGGTCAACTGAGTTACCCGGTAGTCAAAAATATAGAATTACTCCAACCAAATAAAAATACCTCAGAATTATCTCACAAATCTGTAGTTTTCTATACACAGTAACTCTGGAAACTGTTCAAAATTGTAATTTTTATATTGTGGTTGTGTTTATGAAATAGTTTTGTACTGTTCAGAGTAATGCCAATGAATCCACCAAAAGTCAGACATTCATAGAAATAAAGAACTGTATTGTATAGAAAAAAACGATTGTAATGTATGAAAGACAATTACTTTGTTATCAGGAAACAATCTGTCCTTGTAGAGCGAGAGAGAGAGAGAGAGAGAGAGAGAGAGAGAGAGAGAGAGAGAGAGCGAGCGAGCGTGCATGAGTGTTGACATGGAAACAATCTGTCCTTGTGGTGTTGACAGGTAACAATCTGTCCTTGAAGTGTGTGTGGTGTTGACAGGTAACAATCTGTTCTTGTAGTGTGTGTGGTGTTGACAGGTAACAGACTAAGTAAGAATATTTTTTGACAGAACATTCATTTAAGAAAAAAGGAATATTTGTCTTAAGTAAATCAGAATGATACACGAAAGATAAAGATTAAACCTGTTTCCTTTTAACTAAGGAAAGATATAGATCGTATTAGGACTAAGGGAGAGATCCCTATCATATGTGGTGTTCTGCCTAGAAGGAGAGTTGGCAATGAATGGTTGTCAAGGGCAGTTGGTGTCAACGGCCGTCTTGACGGATATTGCAAGTCAATATCAGTCCCATTCGTTGACAACTGGGACAACTTCTACAGCAGAAGGGACCTTTATGCTAGGGATGGGGTACACCTGTCTCAGGATAGGGTGGCAACCCTGGCTGGGTCTCTAGAGGGGGCAGTTCAAAAGATATCGAAGTCTTTAAACTGCTAGGGGAACATATGGGCACGGGGATGGAGGAGACTGCAGTGGGAGCGGGTAAACAAAGTGAAAGATTACAGGGAAATAGTGTTAGGAATGATGACAGAACTACATTAGACAGGGAGTTTAAACCTAAACGCGGTAAAGGGAGGACTCAGAACACGATCAACTTAAATGTCTACTACGCAAACAGTAGAAGTATGAGAAACAAAATGGATGATATTAGGGCCTTGGTATGTACCGAAAAAATCGATATAATAGCATTCACTGAAACATGGATCAACCTAGACTCACGTGAGTTACCTGTCGAATACCAAATTGCGGATTACAAATTGTTCCATACTGATAGGCCGTCCAGGAAAGGAGGCGGAGTAGCCATCTATGTCAGGGATAATCTGAATTGCGAAATAAATAAGGAAATAAAAACTGAGCTGAATACAGAAACAATTTGGATAGAATTAATTGACGGTAGGGAAAAATTAATCATAGGAGTAATATATAGACCTCCCAATCTTGATAGAGTTAATGAGCGACTTATCTGGGATGAAATGCGCAGGGCTTCCATACACAACAAAGTCTGTATAGTAGGCGATTTTAACCTTGGCCAAATAGATTAGACTGACCTTACGGGTAACTCAGTATCAGAGGATTTCCTCGAAACGATCCAGGACTGTTTCATAAGTCAACATATAACCGAACCCACCCTGGGTAATAATATACTTGATTTAGTTCTGTCGAACAGAGAAAACCTCATTAGCAATGTCGAGGAAGGGAACGAACTTGCAAACAGCGATCACAAAGAAATTAGATTCCAGTTAGATTTTCAGGTCAGACGTAAGGAGAATTCCATTAAAGTCCCAGATTTCAGAAGGGCAGACTTTGATAGTTTAAAGAGGCAGCTGAGGGAGGGGGTGTCGCGATTGGGTGCGAGCCTGACAGATGACACCGACCTGATAACGAGATCTGAGATTGCTGAGTTCCACTACAATTAAAATGAGTTACTTAATGCACAAAGGCAGAACATACCATACAAAAAACTCAGATCAGACAACAATGACCCTAAATGGACAAATAATTATTTAAAGAACATTATTGGACAAAGGAAGGCTATAGGTAGAAGGATAAATCGTGGCGAAATTTACCTCCGGGAGTATTATAAGGTACTGGCCGGTAGGGTTAAGACTGAGATAAGAAAATCGAAGAGGAATTATGAACTGAAGATAGCAGGGTAGGCAAAAACAAACCCCAAAGGATTCTACCAAATGTATCAAACTAAAACAAGAGGCAAGATTGGACCAATACGTTCAGATACCAGACAGCTAACTGATAACGACGGAGAAATGAGCAATAATCTGAATAAATATTTTTCAACAGTTTTCACCACCGAAAATTTAAACATGATACCCGAGGCACCGACTCTATTCAGAGATAGTGAAGAAAACAAATTAAGTGAGAATGTAGTGACTAGTAACAATGTTAATAAGCAAATAGACAAACTGAAGCCTAATAAGTCACCTGGTCCCGATGAGATATTTGCCAGAGTATTAAAGGAATGTAAGGAAGAGCTTAGTATGCCCTTAGCAAAGTTGTTTAACATGTCATTAAAAACAGGTGTAGTACCAGAATGCTGGAGGATAGCGGATGTAATACCGATTTTCGAGAAGGGGGATAGATCACTATCCTCTAACTACCGCCCAATCAGTCTAACATCAATAGTAGGTAAATTACTAGAATCAATTATTTCATACTATATTCGAAACCTCCTGGAGAAGCACAAGTTGATCAATGATTCCCAACATGGCTTCACAAGCGGGCGTTCATGTCTAACTAATCTATTAACATTCTTTTCATCAGTTTTCGAATCGGTGGACGAGGGGCACAATTATGATGTGGTATATCTCGACTTTAGCAAAGCCTTCGACAGAGTCCCCCACGAATGAGTAATTAGAAATGTAGAAGCGCATGGCATCAAAGGTAATATCCTTAAATGGATTAGGGCATGGTTATGGGACAGGAAACAGCGAGTGAGCATAAACGGCACTAAATCGCATTGGAGCAACATCACTAGTGGAGTTCCCCAAGGCTCAGTACTTGGACCATTATTATTTATTATATACATAAACGACATAGATATCGGCATAGACAGCAACATAAGTAAATTTGCTAATGACACTAAAATAGGACGTGTAATTAAATCTGACGAGGACTCTGCAAAACTACAGGAAGATCTAAACAAATTTTTCGAATGGTCGGAAAAATGGCAGATGAAATTCAATGTGGACAAATGTAAAGTACTCAGTATAGGAGATGTAAACAGGGAAACCAGTTACCAGATGAACAACGATGCCATTGTGGAATCCGACTGTTAGAGAGATTTAGGAGTACAGTGGGGTATGCTATAACGAACGTAATTGGTTCCAGAACCTCGTTCGTTGTAGCATTCGTTCGTTATAGGATTAATCCGTTCCAGGCCCCCAAATACAACCACTTAACACTGAAAAAATTCTGTGGAAAATGTAAAAAATACGGTACTTTATCTTACCTTAGTGTTGTTCAGCATGCAGGACAGGAGGCAGAGGGGGAGGGGGGAGGAGAGAATTATTGAGAAGAGGTGGAAGGAGAGGAGTCATCCTTCCTAGCCCTCTTTGGTGTCTGTCTCACAGGCACTTTGTTTGTAGGTTCTTTTGTTATCTTTGTAAAGAAGGAATCCAGGGTTGGCTGCTTCAACCTTGATTTCTGGACATTCCAAAAGTAGTTCATAACATTGTCATTGAACACACTGATGGTCTTTTGCACAGAACCAACATCAGGATGATAATCCTCAGCAAGCTTGGACAGTTTGCTCCAGCAAAAGAACGCATCCTTGAGATCTTTGGCTGGAATGATGCGGCTTTCCTCCTCCTCCCCTGACTCCTCAGAAGTTAAGCTCCGCTTCAGTGTCTCGTTTTCCTCTTTGTGAAGCTCAAGCAGCTCCTCAGTGGACAATTCCTTACTGTGCTCTTCCACCAACTCCTCAACATCATCATCATCCACTTCCAGGCCCATGGAATTGCCCAGAGCCACAATTTCATGAACAACAGCCTCTTCTTCTAACTCTTCGAAGCCTTCAAAGTCTCTTTGAAGGACACATTCAGGCCACAATGGCCTCCAAGCAGCACAAAGACACCTCACAGTAACCTCTTTCCAGGCTGAGGTAATTAAAAATACAGCATCTGCTATATTGAAGTGACTCTTCCAAAATTCCTTCAAGCTAACATCACTGGAAGAAGTGGACGCAAAACATTTTCTAAACAGTGCCTTTGTGTACAGCTTCTTAAAGTTAGAAATTACCTGTTGATCCATGGGCTGGATGAGAGGTGTTGTGTTGGGTGGCAAGAAGTGCACAGTGATGAAGTTCAACTCCTCTGGCAATTCAACCATCAAATTAGGAGGGTGGGCTGGTGCATTGTCCATCACCAACAAAGCTTTCAGTGGAAGATTATTCTCCCTGAGGTATTCCCGAACACTGGGTCCAAACACCTCAATCACCCACTCAGAGAATAAATTCCTGGTCACCCAAGCCTTTGGGTTTGACCGCCACATAACACCAAGGCGGGTCTTCCTAGTGTTTTTTAACTCTTTAGGTGCGTAATTAAATTTCGCGCCGGTTCCTGAAAAGTGTCAATTATCCTGCCAAAAATGAATTTCATATAATCACATTTTCTATATGTTTTTCCTAGAGAACTTTTAGTATATTTTCCAAATCTGGAACAAAAATTCACATATGTGTGCAAATTTTAGAGAAAAAATGACATTTATACCCAAAAATGCAGGAAATTGGTATAAATCAATGTCTGGTATATGCCAAATAAATTTAATCAATTTGGGTACTAAACAGCAAATTTAGATATGTATTACATATTCAGATAATATCAAACAAAATAGTACAAAAATAAGCTATATTGCATTCAGGAAATACTCCTATACCTCAATACATAATATGTCCGCATGTCTTCTCATTTGGGGAAGTTTTTTCAAGGCCGTGGGATATCCCCGCTTGTCGCATTTAATTAATATAATATTTTGGGCGGGTTTACCCGCATGTCGCATCCAAAGGGTTAAAGCTCTGGGGTTTTCTGCATGGTACACAAGGAGTGGCTTTATTTTGCAGTCACCAGAAGCATCAGCACAAAGAAGGAGGGTAAGCCTGTCTTTCATTGGCTTATGGCCAGGGACAGAAGTTTCCTCCTTGGTAATGTATGTACGGCGAGGCATTTTTTTCCCAAAAAGTCCGGTTTCATCACAGTTGAATAACTGCTGAGAAACAAAGCCTCCCTCTTTAATAATATTCAAAAAAATGTCATGGTGTTCCTTAGCTGCTTCCTTATCTGCACTAGCAGCATCACCATGTCTCACAACACTATGTATTTTATTTCTCCTGAAACCAGTAAACCACCCCTTGGTACCCATAAACACTGGCACATCACTATCACTTGCACTGGGAGTCTTGGCTTTAAGGTCCTCAAACAATTGTCTGGCCTTCTCACAAATTATAACTTCACTAATGCTATCACCTGCCATTTCTTTCTCCTTTATCCACACTAAGAGTAAATTTTCCATCTCCTCACTCACATTACACCTTGCTTTGCTAAGTCTAGAGATTCCCTTAGCCACTTGCACTGTTTTCAACTCCTCTTTATTCTTTAAAATCGTACATATAGTCGATTTAGCCATCCCATACATCACTAAGTTTCGCAATGCTTGTTCCATCCTCACGTTTCTTTATGATTTCTTTCTTAGTTTCAAGAGTTATGAGCTTTCTCACTCGCTTTGGACGATTCATCGTCACAATTGTACACTTGTATAACAAAATATTTATACAAATAACTCTATTTCCACATCAAAAGACGAAATTTCAACAATAACAGTGGTGCACTGGCTACACAATGAGACAAAGATGGCGCCTGACGCTCTTGTTGTGGGTCGCGGTACAACAATATTCATGCGCCAGGCGAAATAGTCCGGTATTCATCCGCGTTCGTTGTAGGAGTTGCGTTCATTATAGCATTCTCAATTTTATAGGTAAAACCGTTCGTTATAGGAATATTAGTAGTAGGATCCGTTCGTTATAGCATACCCCACTGTAATGATAAGTAGGAATCTTAAGCCAAGTAAACAATGTGTTTTTGCTCGTAACAAGGCTTATAAAGTACTTGGGGTTCATACAAAGGAGTGTTAGTTTCAAGACTTGCGAGGTCATCTTAAAATTATATCTAGCGCTTGTGAGACCTCACCTGGATTACGCAGTTCAGTTCTGGTCACCGTATTACAGAATGGATATAGAATCCTTGGAAAGAATCCAGAGGAGAATGACAAGACTATTCCCAGGCATTAGGAACCGTGAATACAGAGACAGGTTAAAGCATCTTAATTTGCACTCCCTCGAGAGACGTAGAGTGAGGGGAGACATGATAGAGGTGTATAAATGGAAGTCAGGGTTAAACAAAGGGGACATTACAAAGGTACTCAAACTATCCAACCAAGAGCGAACTCGTAACAATGGTTTTAAATTAGACAAATTTAGATTTCGGCGTGAAATAGGTAAACACTGGTTTGGAAACAGAGTAGTGGATGAATGGAACAAGTTACCAAATATCATCATTAACTTGAATACGCTGGAGCTTCAAACATAGGTTGGATGCTTATATGAGCAATAGGGGTTGGCTATAAACAGGACTGCCCAGTATGGGTCAATAGGCCCGCTGCAGTTTCCTTCCTTCTTATGTTCTTATGTTATTAATTTTCTTCATAACCTCATGTCTTTTTTTTACCAGGGTATGCCTCTCTGGGCACATGACTACGTGTTCTGGTGCGGAGACTTCAATTACCGTATCAACCTAACTCGAGATGAAGTGATCGATTATGTACAGCGCCAGGAATGGAATGTCCTCCTGGAGCACGACCAACTCAAGGTATTCCTGCTTGTTATACTGTCCACTTTTTCTTGATTGAAATACTACTATGTGGTATGGAGTATCATAGTATCTCATCATATCAAGTACAGTATATATTTTTTATTGCAACTGATCTAATAATTATATGTACAGTGTGTTATATCTGCTAAAGAAAGATTTTGATATGATTTTTTGTGAAAGTTAAGGAGAAAGGGTCTGAGTGAATACAGTGACCCCTCGGTTAACGAACTCAATCCGTTCCAGAAGGTCGTTCGTTAACCGAAAAGTTCGTTAACCGAAACCATTGTTTCAATGGGTTTTTGGGTAATTGGTTCCAGCTCACCGAAAATTTCCTAAATTCAACAAAAATGGTAGAAACGTTCACTTACTTTGAGGTGTGTATGTAGAAGGCTCCTGGATGATGATGATGATGATGATGGGAATTACAATGGGGGTGGAGGAGAAGGAAGAAGAGAAGGCATTGGGGTGGAAGAGAAGTCACCCCATGGCACCATTTCACCCATAAAATTTTAGTTCTCTTGGTGTATTTCAAGATTATTTTCTTTAAATCAACACTACACTGCATTATATATTGTCAATATGTAAAATATATTTCAAAATGACCAATAATTTGCTTGGAAACACAGAAAAAAAGCGTTTAGTTGAAGAGAGTCTCAAGCAAGATGTTACCTCCAGTGTAAACAGAGAGAGACTAACGCCTGTTTGCTGTGTTAAGAGGCTGGATGCTGTGCTTTAAACTAGTCACTTTACCTTCAATTATGTTCAATAATTGTTAAAATGACTAAAAAATTGAATATTAAACTTTTAAAATTATTGAATAGTATAAACTTCTTGATATTTACTAAAATAGTTAGGAATTTAAGCCCTAGAACCGATTAATGTATTGGCTGACTGATACTAAAGCTGGTTGCCCGGCCAGTGCAAGCGAAAACATGTTGAGGTCGGTTCGTAAGAAATTCGTTAACCGAATTTTTGTTCGTTAACCGAATTGAAGATCCTTATGGAAGGCAGTTCGTTAACCGAAATTTCGTTAACCGAGGCGTTCGTTAAACGAGGAGTCACTGTAGTATATATTTAGAGCTTCACAGTTTTCCTGGGAAACTCTTGTACATACAGGTAGGAGGGGTCCTTGATATATGTTGCATTGATATATTTCATTTCACAAATACGTTGCCAAAATATTTAAAGACATTTTCATTGTCATTTGTTTCACATATATGTCGTCTGCATCATCCACTGTTGTATAAGAAGTGTGTGTGTGTGTATCCAAATATTATGTATAAATAGTGTTAAAAATGTTAATTCAATGTGAAAATTACCATATTAAGTTATAAAAGTGCCCTACAAGTGTTTAGTTTCTACTGCGCCAAAATACGTCAGTCACCTCTGTCGTGCCTATGTGCTAATGCTGTTGTTATATTTAAATAACCACAGAATTTGCAGAAAATTCACCTCAATGCACTGGTGTGCCTATTGAATAAAGGAAATAATGTATACTGTACAGAAATATAAATATAAAGATACAGTATAAAAGAATAATTAAGAGATAAGGGGTACATTCTGTTGGGGAGAGGGAGTGTATCTGAGAGTAGCAGACTACTGTATACTACTTCTTCATGGACATTTAAATCACACAAGTGTTCCAACACCAAAAAATTAAAGTTTAGTAAACCTTATTCAGTTCGTATACAATGGAGGGTTTGCATATAGAGTGGAAAAAAAATACACCTGGGTGCTGGCCGGACTGAAGGGACAATTCTCTCCTACGCTCATCAGCCCGCAATTCCTTTGTAACAACAGTATGCAATTTTATCATAATTCCCATATTATTTAGGTTCATTTGGGTTAATAAAACACAATCATAAAATAATCTAGTTTCCCTCAAAAATCCCTCACTTGACCCTAGATGAGTTATTGTGTCTTTTTACTGTATATTCCCAATCTCTTATTTACAGAACAGGAACAGCTGATTATTCTCGCCCTTCCTAACAATGTTATTATTTTGCCAGCACTCGCCCTCTCTCAAGCACCATGTTGTCACTGCTCAAGAGGGTTGGTGCTTACCACAGGATCTGTCTTCAGCACTTAGTCAATAATATTATAGCGTATTTATCAGCACCTAATAAATATTATTGTAGTGTATAATGTGTCTCCATATGCCCTGATTTATTCACTGATCAGTTTTCTAAGTGCACAAGTATTGCTTAACACTGTATTTCTTATTGCAGCAAAGTTTTGCAGAAGGCAAGTGTTTCAAGGGTTTTGTAGAAGGGGACATTGATTTTGCTCCAACCTACAAATACGATCTATTTTCTGATGATTATGACACCAGCGACAAGCTGCGTATACCTGCCTGGACGGACCGAGTACTCTTCTGGAGGAGACAGTACCCAAAGGACAAGAATGACCCAAATTGGATCCCAGGTAACACAGCAGAAATTATTCTATAAGATGTGTCTGAAGAAATGCATGGTATTACTTTTGAACATCTGATTAAAGGCTTCAGATCTGGTGGAATATGTTGCCCACAGTTGTCTTGAAAGTCTCTGTATGCTGTGAGTGGTTTTGAAAATGGCAATCTAAAACGTCCAATTGAGGGAGTGGCCAGTAAGAAATGGGAGGGAGGCTGGTAGCTGTTTTTTTTTTTTTTTTTGCAAGAGAAAGAGAGTTTTTTATAATTAAATAACATGGCAATGCTGCAAAACCTCAGTGCCCCAAAGTTTATGGGCTAGCATTGCCTCAGTTGAAGCTAAAAGAAAGTTAATAATTCTTTCTCATATTTCTTCCGGGGGGGATTAAAATTTCATGACGTTAGAGACTATATATCAGCCATTAAGGTACAGTTGTAGACAAAACTCCCTGAACATTTGGCAATATCTGGCATCTACTTGTGGGTCATATATGTACCTGTATTGGTTTATATCTACCTAAGAATGCTGCTTTTTGTCACAGACCTTAATACAAAGACAAATTTGACAAAATACATAAAAATTCCAATCCTCTTCACCTAATGATCCTCAAGTACTTAGATACAGTACTACTAAGTGTTCAGGGAACTTTGTTTACAACAGTACGTTAGGTGAGGTTTCCAGAAATAATTGTATTTTTACCAATTGTTTTTGTACAATATTTTAAGTGTTCAGCATTAACAATGATAAGAGACAAGTCAAAATGTTCGGTTAGGTTAGATAATAGTTTTCCTTCCTTGTGCTCCTTAACTCCAGCATTTAACACTTTATATAATAGAATAAATGTTGTTTGTTACCTACTCAGTTTTATTTTATCTTTTGGCTTTTACACCCCCAAGTTAATTATTTAACCTCTTTAATTTGAAAATATATTTTCAGGCCGGATTATCCACTATGGTCGTGCAGAACTGAAGCAAAGTGACCACAGACCAGTCTTGGCGGTATTTGATGTCGAGGGCTGCAGAGTAATTGACAGCAAGCTTACCAACATCTATGAGTCTGTGGTAGCCTCTCTGGGACCCTCAGACTGTACAGTAGTCGTGCAGGTATGAAATGAATTAGAACTACATAACTTTTCATAGCAGGTAAATCTTCCACTTAGATCTGTGGATTATAAAGTTTACGAGAATTTTAAATATGTCGGGCTGTTGGACTGAGACAAAAGACAAGGAACCAAAGGTGTTTAGTTAAGGGTCAAGTTGATGTGCTGTTGATTTTTTATGGGCATGAGCATTAATGCAGGTGTCAATCATAGTTTATTTTTTGACTTACAGTGAACCCTTGCTTTACGTGGTTTCACTTTACGCGTTTCTACATTTACGCGGTACCCTGCCAGAACTGGAATTCCCACCTTACGCGGTGCATCTACTCATATACGCGGGTGAAGTATAATTTTTTTATTTAGCTCATAAAATTCATACAAATTATCCGGCCAGAATATAATTTACATTGCTGGAATTCTTACAATTTGATGATCATTTTGAATATAAACATCATAGATTTTGCATTAGACATACAAATTTTAGATCTACTTTAAGTATTTTGTTTACTCTGAGTAAATATGTTATCTTTTGTGCAAAATATATGACATTTATATTCAAAATATTCCTGGTCTTACAAGGGATCCAGCAATGTCAATTATATTATCCTAACTTTAGTTTGAGGTATTATTTATTACTATACCTTAAAATCTAGTGGTTTTCCCCCAAACATTTCTCAGAGAGGGAAGAGCCAGCGAGTGTGTGAAGAGGAGTGTGAGAAGAGGGGGAGGGAGTTGAGTGCATTATTTGAATGGACATTAACTTGGCAACTGTATTTCTCTATTTCTCTTAAGTATTAATTGTGTGCATGTACCATCATAAAATTAAGATGTTATTTTTACTAGAACATAGGTATTGTGTCGGAAAAAGTGGAGTTTGGGGGTCAGCCGGTCTCTATTTCATTTAATCCCATATGTTATGTTGTTCACTTTACGCGTTTCTTGCTTTACGTGGGCCTCTGTGGGTTCAATTGACCGCGTAAAGTGAGGGTTCACTGTATATGGGAGAAGGTTGGTTCATTTGTGTGTGCGTGCGTATAAGCCCCTGTCAAACAGACAGTAATACTTATACAAATGTGGGCTACATATATTATGCTTATGCTGATAACCACAAGGAAAGAAGAAAACACGAAGTTCCCAAGCGCTTTTGTGTAATTCACATCTTCAGGGGTGAGTACAGACTAAGGAGAAGTACAAAACAAGGTATATATATACAGAGGAGGGTGAGACCAGGTCCACAATGGTCAGGTATTAGGTAAAGACCCTACTAATCTTCAAAAAGCACCTAACCTAACCTAACATGAATTTGAGTAATGGTATGTACAAACTGGATAATTTTGTAATTAAGAAGATTTGTAACCAGGTGAGAAGGTTGGGTCAGCTTACCCTCTGACCTGACTACCGACTGCTGCGGTGCTTTTTGAAGATTTGTAGGGTCATTACCTAATACCTGACCTGGAATCAGCACCTAATGATTTACTTGCATATATTATGTTTATATAATTCCATCACCCACGGTAGCTAGACAGTGGTACATGTGACAGTGTTTTCCACTGTCTGCCCCACATCTTGACTGCGGAATCATCAATAAGTAGCCGCCTTATGGCAGTCTGTATCCCGTCTCTCACCCACGTAAGACGTCTGTTCACGAAGCTTGTTATACATACGCTTCGTCCCTTTTTAACACTCGCGGCTCATAGCGTTATTACGGTGATAACCTAGTTATTGTGTAATAGTTTATTTTCTTAATAAATGGAGAAAAGACCATTTGGGTTTGAAAATTTAACCCATAAATAGTTATGAATGTTACTTCCAGTGCACCTTTAATACTGACTCTACAGACTCTTCATCAGTGATTACAAAAGGTAAATGGAAGGTAACACATGTGTGCATGCATAAAAATTGACAAACAATGATTGAAAGAGGCAGCCAGAATTGAGGGAGTGTATGGTTGATGACCCATAGACAAGAGTTGTTAATTTGGTCGATATTTTGTTTATAGAATTATTGTAAATAGCAGATAATTAATGCATCTTGGGGATATATACTTTACAATGTTAGTGATACTGAATATTAAGCTTCTGGTCTTGTAATGATATATTAACTTCATGTTCCTGTATAGGCCGGTAACTGATGTATTTTATGTATATTAGATGCCTGCAAATTGATTTAAGGAAATGCAAACTTTAAATAACTTTATCTTTGGTGCTGTATAGCCATCAGAAGAAGAGGTAAATTCAGTGTAATTAGGCATGTGGGAATGTAGTAAATATTAGCACACTATACACTGGATCTATGCATTAGTAATATATGTTATTTGTACAATATTGTTACTTCAAAGTTTAAAAATGAATTAATGTTTAATTTTGAATGTGCTCACAAAGTCAGAATCTGTAGAAAATCACTTTTACTATACTGTACATTTTTTTGTACTTAGTTCTGAGACTGATATATTTTCCCTGCATGATGTCTTATATAAAACCATAAGTGAATAGTTTAGTAACAAAATTGCATCTTGTACCTAACCCCATTACAACACATGTACTGTACTGTAGCCCTAAGTTACAAGTCCCCCTGGAAAAGTATTAATTTTTACCCTTCTCTTTTCCCCCCTTTCTTCTTTGTTTTTCCAGAACCTTGCATTAAATTTAATGTATGTGCTATCTTGCATATACAGGTAGTCCTTGCTTAATTACTGCTCTAATCAACATTTAAAAAAAAATAATAATTACCACAATATTGAGATAATATGAAAGCTTTTGTTTTTACTTACGGTAGATAGATACTGTATTGAAAATTTGACAGCTGAAAAGATGAGACTATGTGAGAGGTATGAATAAGAATTTACTTTAAACATATTGGTGTAAAATATCAAAAGATTGAAACATGTAAATACTGTAAGTTTATCCCCACTCCTGTATAAATATACAAAATGCCATATAATCAGTTTTAGAAATAAATTAAAATAAAATATTGGTACAACAGTTTATGAAAGGGCCAACTCAACTTTTACCTGATGCAGTATTAGTGTAGCTGTGCTCCCATCCATGTTTATATTTCTCAATGTTCTAAAACCTCTAGAAACTGTCTAAAATTGTTTTTATTTATTATGATTGTGTTTAGTGAAATATTAAAAGTTCCCCATAAGATACAGGGGAGACTGTTAAACCCTTTGGGTATGAGGGGTCTCTCTGTGCTGAATAAAATTGTCTGGCATTAGCCGAATGAAATATTAAAAGAGGCGTTCAGTAGTGAAGGTGTTAGTAGAGATAGTCCACTAACACCTTGTGTACAGGGTCCCCTTTGAACCAAATGAAATCTTGTGACATAAATCAAATGAAATATTTAAAGAGGCATCCCATAGTGAAGGGGTGAATCACTTAAGTTAACCCCGGCTGAATCAGTTTGAAGGTTACCTAGGCCAGACCCACCCTGCTTCAGTGTCATATTATATGAGTTATTCCTTTGTGACTCATTTCTGAAACAGATTTTTTTGGATCCAACTTTCATTATTGTTTCAGTTCTTGGAAGTTTCAGAAAGTTTATATTAGCATTGCATGTCAGTAAATAGTTTTTATTGCAGTTGCATTTTACTAGAACTTTCAGAAGAGATATTTATTTTTATTTTAATGAATAGCATATATTTTATTTGCAACAAGAACTATTTCAATGCAGTATACTGTACTTAGAATTTGAGTGCTTTATGAATTTTTTATATCTTCATATCTTTTAATATCTCTTGTGGATTGAGCTTCGTATTAAGATTGTGTAATGATTATAAAATAAATATTTTTCTCAAGTTTCATTACAAAATTATGTGTATTTTTCATACTTATTATAGAGATACAGTATCTACAGTATATATCTTGCATTACTTAAGATTGACATACTGTACTGGTATCCTCAGTCCTTTCACTGAAAGAATGCTTTTGGGCATGTCATTAAATAATTATCTCTCTCTTTCTGTTGTTTACATTACATCTCAAGACAATTATTTGTTCCTTAGGTACAAAATTTGCCTGCTGGAGTTGTTGCGGATTCAGTATTCGACGACGAAACATTGGAAGCTGTCCAAGAAGCCATGGGGACTGTTGGATCAGTTGTTCTAGTGCGCTTTGTTGATAACAAAATCTGGTTTACCTTCGGTGATTCACAGACGGCACTGAAGGCCATTGGTTGTAGTCCACTAAAAGTATGTAATGTATAAATATTAATATTTTTCTTGTAATGTCTTTACAGATTTATTTTTACATTTAATTTTCATACATTGGCCAATTTAGATACAGTATGAGATTTTTTGTTATAAACTTCCAAATGCATCATAGTATGAAGAAGTTAGGTTCCTGGTATGACTGAACATAAAGGGAAGAAAATGGTAAATGCTTAAGTACAAAGACTCCAATAAATATTGTACCTGTAAATAATAATAGAAAATACAATAATGTGGTTTTTACTTATCGATGATGATGATGATGGTTATAGATTAAAGGTCACGAACTGGATGTTAAATTGAAAACTGAGGCTTGGCGAGAACAACTAGAAGAGGAGCTAGCGCTGTGTGGTGACACAACGGTTCCACTGACAGAGGAGTCTCTCAACATCACCGAGAGCGACGATGCATCCTTTAGCATCAGGAATATAGAAGGTAAGCAGATATTTTTACTAGTGAAGGTTGATAAATGTAGTTGGTGGTGTAGAATGCCTCAGCTTTTGGGGGCCCCACCTACGACCCCAGAACGCAGCTTGATGTTTTATAATTTTCTCCATTTGGATACATTAGTCCAGTGATATTTGGTATTGGTTTACTTCAGACAATCATCTCTGTTTTTTTTTTTTTTATATACTCTGTCCAGTAAAAGGTCCAGTTTTGGGAATATCAGGAAAATGGATTTACTGGACTGCCCCTCCCACCTGGAGTGGTCTGATGTAGGGAAGTGTCAATGTTTTTAAAATGTCTCGGTATTGACAAGAATTATAAACCATTATTGTTTGAATAAATCAGTCAAGAAGTCATTGGATGTAATTATTGCTAAATTCTAATCAGATGAACAGTTTTTCACATAGTTTATAAAGTGATTGTAAGGTTAATAATATTCAAATATGTTAAAACTTATTTCCTTACTTATACAGGAGCTCTAGAGGAGCTGTATCAGTCTCAGGCCAGGGAGGATGATTATGGCACAGAATGTAGTGAAGTGGTGGAACAGCAGCATGCTCCGTTGCAGCAGTCCAGGCCACCACCATCAAGACCTACCCCCTCAAGGCCTCCTCCTCCACGACCCACACCTCCAGGGTCGGCTCCCAGTTCACCAGCCCCATCCCGTCCCCAGCCACAAGGGCCAAAGGTAGGTATTTTATTTACCAAAATAAGGGATGATGACTAAGAAATTTCTTGATGGTGGACAAATTTTTAAGTCTTAAGTGATGAACTGATTATGAAATTTCATTTGTAAATTTAACCAGGGTCAAGTAACTAGGTTACCCTCCTTCCTCCCATTGGGTAACACTACAATTCTTTGATTATAGGTAAAGGTTATAACCAAACCAGTTCGTCCATCACAATTGCAACGGGTCATCATTGCCTCAGTATCACAAAATACGACAAATGTTGTGGATCATCAAGCAGAAGAAGTTAGCAGTCCACCACAGAGGACTTCACAGCCATCCAAACCAGCTACACTTCCCCGCACTCCATCTCGGGAGAGTCCAGTTAAAACTTCACACCCAACTGAAGTTCCTGTCACAAGTTCTTTGTTTGGTGTGCCTCCCTCTGTACCAGCCAGCTGTCCAAGTGTAGCTGATGAGAAGCCTTTTGTGTCTCCTTTTGGTGCACCTCCCCCTCTACCAGCCAGCTACCCAAATGTAACTGATGAGAAGCCTTTTGTGTCTCCTTTTGGTGCACCTCCCCCTCTACCTAACAACTGCCCTCCAGAAGGCTCTACTTCGTCTCAGTCTGCCTTAGAGAGAACTTCTAGTTCCCCTTTCAGTAGTCCTCCACAAGTACCAACTAACTTTTCATTGGGTCAGGCACCATGTATACCAGCTAATGGCCCATCGACAGATTCACCATCATCTGATCCACCCTCTGGCCCACCTCCAGGCCCACCCCCTGGTCCACCCCCTGCACTACCAAGTAATGGTCCATCAGTCCCACCAAAGGACACACCCCCTAGTATACCAGCCCGCTCCCTTCCACCAGTACCAAATAGAACTAGTACTGGTGCACCACCACCCATCCCTTCCAGAAATTTACCACCAGTCCCAGCTCGTAACCTCCCTCGTGTACCACCTAGGAAGTAAGTCTTAATTTCGAAAAATACCCTTACTGGCCTAGTCACAAAGTAGCCTATGGAAGAGTGTTTTACAAACACACACACAAAGTGCAGTAGAGCCTTGAATTGCATGAGTTTTATCAATTTGATTTCTGTATAGTATTCACATACTTTTAGACTAGACATTTGAAATGCATGACCGTAGTTCTATATCACATAGGTTTTGATTGTATAGTTACAGTAAACTCATTACTTCAGCATACTCATTGTTTGGAAACTGGATACTGTACAGTTATGAAAAAACTATGTGACTATCAGGACAAAATGCAGTACTGTACTCTTATCATTATTTCAATGACTGGACATTTTTGCCAAACCACCTGGTCTATTGTGTCCAAATTTCAGCTTTTTGGTTCAAAAATTTGTTGATACACTGGGACAACCAACTAACAAACAAGACAGATAAGTTGAGTGGTCACTAAGATCGAAAGAGGGGGAAAGTCTACAAAATTGTTGGATAAATGGGCAAGAAATATTTTTGAGCAGTGGTGTGAGTCAGTGTACCCACGCTATCATAATTTAATCAGCTGGCTAGAAATGATGAAGCTCTGGGAGAGAATTTATGCACAAAGCTACAACTTTAGTAAAGTAACTTTAATCCTATTCCTTTAGTTTTTTTTCTTTTATGCTTTCTGAGCTTTAACCAGGCTTGCAAGAGTAAAAAATGGGTAATTTTTTAAATACCAAAAGTAAATACAGAAATGAAATGAGTGTAATAATGAGAACCAGTTTACAGTATTGAATTTTTAAAGAGTATAACCCCCTCAAAATTCAAGGGGCCACTGTGTGTGTGTGTGTTTGTGTAAAACATTTATGCAGGGTTCTTTCACTTTTTTCACAATTTGAGATGCAGGTTTATTTATGTTAATACTCAACGCAAATCTACTTATATTCATGTGTTACACTTTCATTTAAATCAATTCTTCCACTTCAAAATTTCTTTTCAACTTCCCAAAAAACAGCTTTATCAAATGTCAGCTTTTTGCAGTTTTGTTCAATGAATGATAACATACACTTATAAATGGGAAGAAATAAGAGTAAGAGTTATTTAGGTGTAGAATAAATGTACATTAGGTTCAAATTTGATCCAAAGAAAAATGCTTCCATGCTTGTACCGTGTTCGGTATTGAGGTAGTCTTGTTCCTATCTGACGTGTATATTCAGTTCTTGAATTGTTGGTAATGACAGACAAAGTGTCGATACTATACTATTTATAAAGATTACCTATTGAGAATGAAATATTTTTTCCAAAGTCTGCTGATCATCTGTAAGTAAATAAAACTAAGTAGGAAGACATTGTTAAACATGTTGAGCCAAGGCTTACCTATAGCTGAAAATTCTTTTATGATTTATAGGTCATTCCCATCTGCTGGACACACCTTGGCAGAGCCTGCCTTGTACAGGGGGCTGACTGCATTCTGAGACAAAGATTCTATCATATGCAGATCACTGCCAAGGCTACACAAACAGCCACTTGTTTGTTGAATCCCTAGTTAGTGAAGGTAGAACCTCAAATTGTGTGTTAGTTGAACAGTCACTGGAACAAATCCCTAGAGCTAGTTCAGTTGACTCAGACCCGAAGATCTCTGAAGTTCAATACTCATATTTTTCCACAATACAAACCCCATCAGGGGTGGTGGGAGAGATTCCAAATCAATTTATTCTTCTCTTAGGTTAGGTTAGGATTTCTGAGTTAAGATATTTGTTTATTAGCCAAAGGGCCATGTTTCACATGATTTTGGAGACGCAAAACCAACAAGAGAAGGAATGTAGGAGGTCATATGTTTACAGTTGTTTTGCCCTGTCACCTATTCACCCTTTGCCAACCCCCCCCCCCCCCACTACTTGTTTGCCCTCTGGCATTTTATTATTACATGCAGTTATCTTAATCAATGGTGGCAGCTGTACTTTTATAACTACCGATAAATGCCAATACTAGCAAGGAGCCTCTATCTGGCAATCTCTAATTTTACCTTACTTTACCTTACCTAACCTAACCTAATCTCACCTCTACATGGATTACAAGAGACACAAATTGTCAGGGGATAAATAATTATTTAAAGACTATTATTGGACAAAGGAAGGCTATCGGTAAAAGAATAAATCGTGGTGAAATTTACCTCCGAGATTATTATAAGTCTATTGGCCAGTAGGGTTAAGACCGAGATAAGAAAAGCAAAGAGGAATAATGAACTGAAGGCAGCAAGGGAGGCGAAGTCAAACCCCAACGGATTCTTTCTAATGAATCAAACTAAAACACGAGAAAAGATTAGACCAATACAGTCAGGTACCAGCGAGCTAACATAATGACGGAGAAATGAGCAATAATCTGAATAAATATTTTTCAACAGTTTTCACCACCGAAAATTTAAACATGATATTCGAGGCACCGACTATATACAGAGATAGTGAAGAAAATAGATTAAGCGAGATAGTAGTGACTAGTAATGATGTTAGTAAGCAAATAGACAAACTAAAGCCTAATAAGTTGCCAGGTCCCGAAGAGAGATTTGCCAGAGTATTAAAGGAATGTAAGGAAGAGCTTAGTATGCCTTTAGCAAATTTGTTTAACATGTCCTTAAAAACGAGTGTAGTACCAGAATCCTGGAGGATAGCGAATGTAATACTGATTTTCAAGAAGGGAGATAGATCACTATCCTCTGACTACCGTCCAATCAGTTTAACATCAATTGCAGGCAAATTGCTGAAAACAATAATTTCAAACAATTCAAAATTACCTGGAGAAGCTGTTTTCGAATCAGTGGATGAGGGGTACGACTATGATTTGGTATATCTAGACTTTAGCAAAGCCTTCGACAAAGTCCCCCATGAAAGACTAATAAGAAAAGTGGAGGCTCATGGCATTGGAGGAGATATTCTAAAACTGATTAGTGCGTGGTTACAGGACAGGAAACAGCAGGTGAGCAGTAACGGTACTAAATCCGATTGGGGTAACATCACTAGTGGAGTACCCCAAGGATCAGTACTTGGACCATTATTATTTATTATATACATAAACGACATAGACATCGGCGTAGACAGCAACATAAGTAAATTTGCTGATGACACAAAAATAGGGCGTGTAATTAAATCTGAAGAGGACTCTGCAAAATTACAGGAAGATCTACCGGGTAAACATTTTTAGAATGGTCTGAAAAATGGCAACTGAAATTCAATGTGGACAAATGTAAAGTTCTTAGTCTAGATGTAAACAGAGAAACCAGATATCAGATGAACAACGATGTCATAGAGAAATCCGAATGTGAGAAAGATTTAGGAGTAAGGATAAGTAGGAATCTTAAGCCAAGTAAACAATGTGTATTTGCTCGAAACAAGGTGAATAAAGTACTTGGGTTCATACAAAGGAGTGTTAGTTACAAGACTAGAGAGGTTGTCCTAAAACTATATCTTGCCCTTGTGAGACCTCACTTGGATTACGCAGTTCAGTTCTGGTCACCGTATTACAGAATGGATATAAAATCCCTAGAAAGAATTCAGAGGAGAATGACAAGACTAATTCCAGGCATTAGGAACCTTGAGTATAAAGACAGGTTAAAGCATCTTAACTTCCACTCCCTCGAGAGACGTAGAGTGAGGGGTGATATGATAGAGGTGTATAAATGGAAGTCGGCAAAACAAAGGGGACATTACAAAGGTACTCAAACTATCCAACCAGGAGCAAACTCGTAACAATGGTTTTAAATTAGAAAAATTTAGATTTAGGTGCGAAATAGGTAAACACTGGTTTGGAAATAGAGTAGTGGATGAGTGGAACAAGTTACCAAATATCATCATTAACTTGAATACGCTGGATAGCTTCAAACATAGGTTGGATGGATATATGAGCAATAGGGGTTCGGTGTAAATAGGACTGCCCAGTATGGGCCAACAGGCACACTTTAGTTTTCTCCATTCTTATGTGGCAAATTGGCAGGGGGCAAATGGGCAATGGGCCAAACAACTACAGTACTTTAAACACACTAATCTTTCCATACCTCATTTTCGAGTACAGTACTAAGTACATGTACATAATTTTTGTAGAATAAAATGATGTATTTTGTGATACTCCAGGTTCAGATTTTGTACTTTCATTTTAATACTAAATATACTGTACATTCCATTAATTCCATTTATATTCAGCAGTTGTTCTTTTTATTGATGTGTAATGCTCAAACATTATCTTCCTTATACAGGTGTTCCTTCTAAAATATGTAATGAAAACCTTTGTTTCAGAAGCTTTTCAGATTATGTTCTTGAAATAATAGCATCACGTTATAAGCTGTAACGTATTATGTTTAATGATTAATTAAGGCAAAATAACGTTATGCAAGATGAGGCACATTTTAAATCACGAGAGTTTTCATTCATAATACTGTACATAATAAATGTTACTTAAATCAGTAAACTACAGTAATTGAATATTACATAATACAAATAGTATGTTCTTCAGGTACAGTACCTAATACCTTTTTTAAAGCACATCACATATATCTCAAATACTTTGTCATGCACACAACTTTTTTTCTTCGGTGATACCATCAGGAGTCCATGCAAGCAGGCCACTTTTACTTCTTTTTTTGGGGGGGTGGGTTGATATAGAGAAAAGAATAGTAGTAGTCTGCCTTTCTGAGGGCAAGTTGAGAGTATTGGGTATGCTACACTATTTGTTCCCATCACTGAACCTTCCAGTGACTACCTAGATCAATCAAGGTAATGTCTAGTACTTGTTACATGGTGTGGTTGCATAATTCATTAGGTGCTGATAGACGAGGTTCCTCTAATCAGTATACTACTGTATAAAAAATATTCTTTCTCCTTCCATGTTAGAGGATAAGATAGAATGAAAGTGCCTTACTTTCCCCCTAATTCTTAATTTACCCCAGATTTGAGAAAGCTCACATACACTGGAGCCTGTCATGTACAATCACCTGCACTTATATCTGGTACAGTGGCTGGTAGATTTTATAAGAGTGGCATTCTTAGTGTAACTACTTTTGTAATGTTCAACTTAGGGCCATTCCAGGAGTTTTAATATGATGTAAACAAACACAAGTTGCCATGTCTCACAAAATGTACCAGCTACTATACCAGGTATAAGTGAAGGCGAATGTACATCCAAAGCCTAGTGTCTCTCAAATAACCAAGTTTTCTTTCCAAGCTATTGACTGAATGTGTCCAGACAGATGGCAGATAGATGACTTTGGTATCTATTGTAGTTAAACAAGTTCAACCAAGAAGAAATGCATCTTTCATGCTTCAGAACAATGTTTGTGGTCTTCCTTGTACCACCTTGAACAATGAATAACTCAGAAAGTAATATAATTTTTTGCTTTTAAATATACTGTACATAAATTTGTAATTAAGACTGATTGGTTGACATCTTTTCCAAGTGGGATGGTCAATTGTGAAAATTTTCAAACCTGACCTTGCATAATTGGGTTCTGTGGTTAGTATTTGAACCCTGTGCATTTTGTTTTTGTTTACATTGGTAAAATTTCCCATTAAGATAACTTCACAGATTAGAAGTACTGGGTATAGTATAGAATGACTCTCATGGTAGGTAAAGTATATCTAGCAGAGGACTAAAAGTTGACAAAATACAGAGCTGTGTGATGCATGTGTGTGTACAAGACAGTTGGACAAAATTGACTATTAATGAAAATTATAAGATATATTTTGCTCTATTAACACTGTTGATAACCAGTCATGTGTGAGCACTAGACTAAGTAACAAGTGATGCTATCAGTGAGAGGCTGTTTTTAATGGGAAAAACAAATAACAATCATTGATTTTGTTCTTTGTATTTATTTCATATAACTCATCTATTAAAGATTTAGGAAGGAAGTTTGGAGTAAAGCTTTTGTTTTTAGCTTTATTGTACAGTATGTACTGTGTGTTCAGAATGCAGAGAATTAACAACTAACATGAGTCCTGGTCTAATCAACTCTTTTCATATACAAGATAATCCATTTTCTCTCATTTGAAATTAACATGATCTATTTATACAGTAGTTCATGAAAAGTATCATTGATGAAATAGCATATGTACTAAGATGAATTCAGATAAATGACCTTTTTGTGAAGTGGTAAATGTCATCAGTGTTTTACATGATTTAAGGGAAAATTTCCATCTTTCCTCAGATTTATTTAGTATTAAAAATAGGTGCTGATTATTATTATATTAAACATTCTAGAAATGTAATTAACCAAATTACATTTTATTGAATGTCATCTCAGTGGTTTCCAAATTTTAAAAATGTAATGTTGAATATACTATATTGGTATCATTGTACTGTAAAATAAACCAAGTTTTCAATATACTGTACTAAACTTCAGTGTTTTAGAGGAATTATGTGATTAGATAGGCATTACCTTAGAAAATCAACATTCTTTATATGGTAGCACCATACTGTACTATATATCAAAAGAATGTCATCACGAATTATACTACCCTGAAGTTCATATAATGGACTATGCAGCTACCTGTACTGTCACTTTTAAATGTACCTATGAAGACACTAATATAAATAATGAGATGTACTTGCATGTTTGTGTGTATAAAATAATGCCAGTTTTCCAAAGTTTTGTGTGTGTTTGCTGCATAATACTCTGATCTGTTGTACTGTGATCTACATTATAATAATTTAAGATTCTCTCTACATTATATGAACAGTACTGAATTGTATTCACTTGAGTTGAAAAGATTCACAAATTTATATATAGTATAGTTGGAGTTTAACTTTTTATGATGTTAGATATTGAAAACTGAAATATAAATGTAACACGTACATATATTATCCAGTGTTTGATGCATTCATTGAAAAATACTGTAGCTTATTAAGGAATGCATTTTGTATGACACCAAGTATTGCTGCCTCCTGCATTAATTTGTGGCATACTTTTGCTGAATGTTGTCGGTGATACAGTAGTCAGATAATATGTGGATGTAAATTTATTATGCCTATCAGTGGTTATTACTTGTTAAAATGGGTTAAATACAACTTCAGATTTTTTAAAACTGTACTAGTGTATCAGAGTGGTCACGTGTACTGGTAATTATTGTTTGTATTTATAAAGAAACATACATTTTTACTAATATTTTAACCAAATTATATTGTGCAAGAACTTGTATTTATTGTGAAATGAATTCTGTACTATGTAACCATAATCCTCACAAACTTCTTGAATATCAGCAAAGTACTTAATGAACCAAGGCCATTTGATAATGTATATGATGTGTTTTTCTATTTGTTGTCATGATTGTAATAACTATAATTTTATTATGTCTGTGTAAGATACATTAATCCTAATTACAGCTAGAAATGGCTTGTAACCTTTGAAGCTGGAGAGCTACCTGGAATACTTCTAACGAAATTTCAAACGATTTCTGTAAAATTATTAAACAAGGCAATTTTGCTCACCTGTG